AACATGCTGTGTTGTCAATATAGAGCTAGGCTACCTGTAGATTTAACCGCGCTAAATTGAATTTGGAACCGAACGCGCAGCAAATATTCTGAGTGAAGCGGCATGGGTTGAGTCCAGTGTTTTGAGTAGGTTATCGATCTGAATTACGGAATCACCGAACAAAAAATGGCACTGTGTATACTCAAGCAGTTTGTTTTCACCGTCATACTTTACTCGAACATATGACAGGCACTGTAAGCATATAAGCACGGCAACTTGGTAAGCTAACATGAGGTGGGCATCCATAAAGAAAACAAAGCAAGCTTTGCAAGGCTTTCGCTCTACATCGCACGTCACCATTATGACGTCATATCGCTTATTGTGACGCAAAAGATATGACGTCACAGTCGTTTATAGAAAAGCGCCAAAATTCCAAGCTCTCTGTTGTCTCCAAAACGTAAATACGTTCCCTTTGTTGATTTCTATCGTGTTTTCTGCACGAAATGAATTTCCACACATCCGTTGAATATTGTAGTAACATCATCTATGTATTTTGTAATCTGTAATTGTAGATATAATTATTTAAAAATGCCTACCGACAATGACTGAAAAAAGTACTATTCTATGTATATTAGCTTCCGCGGTGATGCGCCCGTCAAACCAGCTGTTTCAATCAGAGGGGGTTTATTGTGACTTAATAGCCTCTGATTGACCAATCAGAATAGAGTAATTTCCAAATTCATGGTAGAATGTATAATACAGTAAATGTGACACAACTGATCAGAGGCAAACATACAGGGTTCATAAATAGAGGATTCATCACGAGTGTTTTTTTAATATGGGAAATATCAACCGAGTCTTAGTTAATCGGTATTTGCCGAGCCTTTGGCGAGGCAAATACCGATTAACGGGACGAGGTTGATATTTACCAAATTAAAAAACACGAGTGATGAATTCTATTTATCATTTTCACATTTTTGCTTCCAAATTAAGGAATAATTGCATTTAACATTAACATCAGCAACTTGTCGAAATCTTACGTATAGATCGTGGGTAGTGATACATGTTTTCCATAGCCATGTAAACCAAAATAAACAATTCGCTGAGAAAAAAAGTTCCTCGGATTAATTTAAACAAAATACTTGAACAGACTTTTGCAGAATAATTGAAACTTTTATAACGGTAACAACAACGATTCTGTGTAATCTGATTATATTTCTGGTGTAACTTCATTATAATATATAGTTTCAAATCAAACCGCTCGCTCTTCCGGTTATCTAATTTGCATACCTAATTTGCATACTTATGTCATTGGGGTATGACATTCATATAGAATACTAAACGAGCTCCCGTGTAATACCAATTTTATGAAACGAGTGAATAATTGTGGTATCTGACGAGCGAAAGCGAGTCAGATACCACAACTATTCACGAGTTTCATAAAATTGGTTTTACACGGAAGCGAGATTAGTATTTTATTTATTACTTGCCATTTATAACGTTTTTAGAATTATACTGTTGAGTGTGAATAGGCTGACATCTACACGATCCACGGCATAATCCAATTGAGTTCAACACAATAATACTTCACACACGTCAAAAGTTGAAACGTATGAATTTAATACCATACAACGGCCCACCTTTAGAATTCAGGCGTCCGTTCTACAAAATTATCGTAGCGTTAAGGTTATCGCAACTCACATACTTTAACTTAGACCAACGACTGTCGTTGCGCTACAGTACGATCGCCTTGTGGAACGGGGCCTTGCACCTCAAAGTTTACAATCACGTCACAATACCCGATGACGTAATTTGTGGAATTTTGTTGCAAGATCCTTCGGCGAAACAATGCCATGTGACGTCAGCCTAGCAACACCGGTTGCTGGGGTCATCGAGTGTGCATGAGCTCCTCTCAGTGATCTATCATCTCCACACGCAATGTCGTTGAATAAGCCAAGGGATGTTGAGAGCTTTCAATATTTTTTCTAGAAACGTGTTCCGAGAGTACATAAGCACGCGTTTTGGTATTACACAATGTGTAATACAGCTGTATGTTTATTAAACGGGTGATCTCTTCACGGGCAAGTAATAAATGTTTTTATGTCATAAGCTTATGTCATGGATAAATGCTTAAGTTAAATGATAAAACTCAATTGTGCTCTAGGGTCATATAACATCACGAGACTACAGTGTATTGTTTCCGTCATCCGGACGGCATTGTTGACGTCATTCGAATCTTATTGTGACGTAAGGTCGGAATGACGTTACACAAGAAACGACGTCATAGCTGAAGACTGGTGACGTCATTCCAATCTCAGGTCAAGCTCGGAAAAGAGACCGGCAGACTGACCTCATTCGACAAATGGTGGTTCCTTTGGTCTTGCGACTTGCTGTCCTTATAGGCAAACCCTAAAATTCATCACTGTATGTAGACATCTTCTTCGTTAATGAATAGAACATTATATTTGTGTTCATGTCACTCGTGTCCATAAACATAGTAGAACATGAGTGAAGTTAAATTTAACGTCGGGGCATTATTTCATCCAGACAACGATGATAGTATGATATGAACATGCATATAATATTGTGTTTTTAATTATGTTGTATGTGGCCGTATGTCTTTGCATATTGAATTCCTTGATTATACTAATACTCCAGATATTTTCGCTAGTCAGATACCACAACTATTCACGAGTTTCATAAAATTGGTTTTACACGGGAGCGTCTTTAGTATTTTATTTATTACTTGCCATTTATAACGTTTTTAGAATTATACTGTTGAGTATGAATAGGCTGACACCTACACGATCCACAGCATACAAAGGTCCACCGTTAGAATTCACAAAATTATCGCATCTCACATACTTTAACTTAGACTAACGACTGTCGTTGCGCTACAATACGATCGCCCTCTTGAACGGGTCTTGCACCTCAAAGTTTACAATAACGTCACAATACCCGATGACGTAATTTGTGGAATTTGTTGCAAGATCCATTGGCGAAACAATGCCATGTGACGTCAGCCTAGCAACAAGGTTGCTGGGGTCATCGAGTGTGCATAAGCTCCTCTCAGTGATCTATCAACTCCACACGCAATGTCGTTGAATAAGCCAAGGGATGTTGAGCGCTTTCCGAGAGTACATAAGCACGCATTTTGGTATTACACAATGTGTAATACAGCTGTATGTTTATTAAACGGGTGATCTCTTCACGGGCAAGTAATAAAAAGACATAACATATTCTTGTTTGAATGCTTCTTTCACTCCTACCAAAAATGAAGGACTTCAGAAGCCTGGACGCTTTTTGGCTGATTAATAAGTTCCCCGATGATTCTCATTATTTGTGCCAAGTTCGAATCCCATACTGATCCTGATTATGACCCTTGGTTTGTTGGAGGTGGTGAACAGGGGTTGACGTCGCGTTCAACATTCTTGCACAAAAAAAGGCGTGTGTGTGTCGCTGTTTGTACAAGTCAGACTTATGCCGAGTGTTCAGTGCCCACTGAGATACCATACTGCAGTTTAACATGAATAACCTTCTCAGACACAGTTTACTGACTTCGAGCCAAACAGCCCTTTTATCCCCTTAATGCCGAGCGCCAAGCAGGGTAACAAGTAACATCTTTTGGTTATAACACCACCGGGAAACACATCTGCTCTCCGGGCAAACACTCTATCCATTAGACCACAGAGGCAGTCTGGTTTGTTAGAGCCATTCCAAAATGGTGAAATGAATAAAATATTTTGTGTAATTCGTAAAACCACCTGTTTACTTTCAATGTCATATTTCCCGGTCAGAAAAACAGTTAGTACAGAAATATGAATGTGCGCAGGTGAAGTCATGAGTCTCCTGCAGCCTGCTGAGCTCCCGTGGTAACCCTGCTTCACAAAAATTCAATCTACACTTGGGTCAAGACCTGCATCGCTTTGGTCTTTGTCCCTGAATTAAGGGACCACAACTGTGGTTTAGTGGATAAAGCGTCTGGAGAATGAAAGGTTGTGGTTCAGCTGCATCATTCCAAAAGACATGAAAGATGGTACTTGTTGTTACCCTGCCTGGTGCTTGGCATAAGGGGAATATAACAAGGACTTGGCAGGAAACTGTGAGTGAGGTATCCATGTTAAAAACTAGTATATCAGTGGGCTGGTACCATAAAACCAACATTAGTACAGACTAGTTTGTTTGTTGTTTACCGCTGCGCTCAGCAATATTTCAGTTCTAGGACTGTGGTCTTTAAATAATCGAGTCTGGACCAGACAATCCAGTGATTGACATCATGAACATTGATCCACGTAATTTGGATACGATGACATGCATCAACCAAGTCAGAGAGCATACTGGCCTTTTATGTCAAGCATGGGTTACTGAAGACCTATGCTAACCTGGATCTTCAAGGGTCTACAGACTACTATAAGCACACTTTGTTAAGGAAGTGCAATAATCTTGAACTTGACTATACTCACCTCGACCCATGAAGATCCGGGGTGGAATAGGTCTTCAGCGACCAATGCTTGCCGTAAAAGGCGACTATTCTTGTTGTAAGAGATGACTAACGGGATTGGGTGGTCAGACTCGCTGACTTTGTTGATCCCAATTGCGTGGATCGATCATCATGATGTCAATCACTGGATTGTCTGGTCCAGACTTGATTATTTACAGACCGCCATCATATAGCTGAGGGCGGCGTTAAACAACAAACAAACAAACTAACTATTTCACCGCACTTCCTACATTGAGTCATGAAACCATTAAACCAGATCTGACGGAAACACCTGTTGGGTGCCACAAATATTACAGAGTAATTAGCTATAGTAATATCAGGTGAGGTGAAATGGGGTTTAAATCGCGTCCAAGATTATTGCACTTATATAGTGACGTGCATGCACGGCGATGTGTGTGTGTGTCTGCTTGTACTAGTCCGGACTGATGCCGATTTATAGTGCTAGCACACTGAGATACCATGCCGCAGTTTAACATGAATACCTAATCTGTCATGGTCTTATAAACAACACAACACAATGTGAAATATGCTGTTTCATTTATTAGAATGATTAACAAATATTAACAACAGGTAGCAAAACTGTGGTTGGTCTATTGGACACAGTAAAAATATCCTAACATATTGACATTGATTGTGCTGTGTGGAAAATATGTGATAAATTTCTTATCAAAATAGTAAACCGGGCACTAAGAAAAATACCAACAAGTTTTCATTCATTCTCACCAAACAAATTCTATGTTTAATGACGATGTCTAATTAACAATGATTAATTTTAACTGAAACAATTAAAATCTTGATCATGATCATATAAGGTATAAATAGTTTGTGTACAACATATTAAATGATACTTAACAAGTAATAGACTCCAATGAAATATTTCAGCGGAACCAAGGATAGAGAAATTTGTCAATCTTCATCAAGCTAATATGTATCCTTTCAAATTAAGGTGATAATTTAATGACGATATACATCTATAACCTAATCAAAAGTTTTATAATCTCTTTAGGCTTAAAAAAATAAAAGAATAGGTTCTCAAGCAATAGTTCTTGAAAATATAATGCGGACAAGTGGTTTTTTTCTCTGTGTGTGTGTGTGTGTGTGCTTGTAAACTAGTATGTAACAATTGTGTACAATCAACCTGGGAAAAGGCCTCGCTACATAAATGTATTCCTTGATGAGTAAAATACTGGAATACACTATTTGACTACCTTTGGGCTTTTTTTTTTTTTTTTTGAAAATGGAATAAAAAAGAATTTTATGATGTAGGTGGTGCCTGAGAACCAAGACTTTTATTCTTTTTAGCCTAAGCCATGATGGACAACACCGGAAATTACTTTTGAATGTTGACTATTCTCCTCCACCTGAACATGCTTGAGGACAAAATGGCTCCTGTCTTGATAAACATAGTCTACATCCTCCAAAAAAAGCTGGTTACTGACAGAAAGAGAGTCAAGCAAAGTGCAGACGGGTACAGAATGGAGGCCATTTTGAAAGGACAACATGTTCTGTCTTGCATGTTAGCACAGTTAGAATTGTAGATCTCTTTCAAACTGGAAAATGGACTATTGCCCAAATATGGCACTAAGTGTGAACAAAACTTAGACAAAATATATGGCACATATTTTTCTTATAACCACTAAATCATAACTCGCTTTATATGGAAAGATAAATATTATGTCTCTTGTCCTGAGAATCAGGAGAGTATTTTAATAATTAATACTTCAAGATCTGCCATACTTTGGCCACAATAAATTGATTACATGAGAATCAGATTGGTCTCATGTGTCCTCATTGGACTGAACCACCATTTTAAATTAATCTTTGATGATAGGCTTTGACTCATCTTACGTTTGTGACTGTTATTTTAAGTTTAAGTTATTAACAGTGTAACCTCCCCCTCCCACCAACCCTCCCAACCAGGACCCTCATCTAAGTCCCACTCTGGTGCTGGATTCCTTCAGTGAAAGAAGTAAACAGATAAACAGACAGCCGGATGGACAAGACATGTGATAAGCTCACTTCGACCTTGTGTTCCGTGGGAGCTAAACGAAAACATTGCCCTTATCCCATTCACTGAATACAAACAGAAATCAAACAAAAGCATGTTTTGAAAAAAGCATACACGGCCAATGCCTAATTGATAACAAAAAATATTTCAAAATGAACAGTAAACACAAGAAATAACAAAACTTAGAGATGTAAAACAGTGTGATTCAATTTTCTAAAACTTTTTGATTAATCAAACTAATGAAAGTTGAAATCCCCTTCATTTCATTGTGTCATCTAAATATATTTTTAGTTGGTGAAAAATATTTATAAATCTCATGACAAATTATTGGAATGTTTTGTTATATATTAGACAGTGCTGCCTACAAAGTTGACCTACAAAAATTGAAATGATAATACCATGCCACAAAATACTAAGATGTCTACATAATATGGGCAACAGAAGACAATATGCTGACATAACAAAACACAATATGACTTCATGAACACACGCAGTGCAATCTAATGGAAAATCCATCTTCCAGGGGCAAAGTGGTTAACCGACTCTAAAAGTTCAGTTTCCACAAGTCTATGCATAGTCCAATCAAAAGCCCTTAATGATATCGACACCCTGGTTCCTAAACAACGTGGCACATGCAGTGCTGAAATTCGATTGCAGGATTTGCAGAACATGTGTACCGTAAACGGGGCGTCGACACATATTTTCCAAATCTTTTCATGTTTTAATTTAGGTGGTCAAGCGATTTGATTCACTTTGCAAGGTAAAGCCTGTTTCATTTCAAAATAGATCTCTATTATTGATCAGATCGTCTTTACTGGGCGCCGCCAGAAATTCCAGCCTTGTTCGTCAAGAGTGGAAAATGGACTTTTAAAGTCTGTTTTAAACGCCCTTGCCTTGAGAAGATGTGAAATATCCTACCTACTTCACTTTTGTTTTTTTTTACACAAGAAAATATGCACGTGTCAATTTATAATGTTATGTTATTTTATTATGGAGAGAGAGAGAGAGAGAGAGAGAGAGAGAGAGAGAGAGAGAGAGAGAGAGAGAGAGAGTCTGTAAAAGAAGCAAGTAAATTGTCTGGTCTTATAGTGGAATGTAGGTAATAGGAGTGTTATTTATTTCTTTCTTTTTGTTGTTTGAACATCAATCTTTGTGAAAGGCCCTGTCTTCTTACACATGCTGTGAAGAAATAAGCCCCAGAACAAACAAAAGCCTTTAAATATATGAATAATAAACTTTCAGCAATGTAATAACTTGTGAAACAATCAATATTAGCAACCAGGAATGTACAAAATAACATTTGTGAGCCACACATTAAACTCAACGTCTTGTGACTTCTCCAACAAATACACTTCAACAGCTCTATAGTACTGGGCCAATACTTACAACATTGGAAGAGTCTAATCTAGGGGGGTCATCAACAGTTCTGCCAATGCAGATCAAGTTAGGTCATGTGACATGTTTGGGAGAATTACTAATTTCTTGCAGTATACGTTTATGTTTCTTTGTTGTTTAATGTCGCACTCAGCAATATTCCAGCTATACAACAGCGGGTTGTAAATAATCAAGTCTGGACCAGACAATCCAGTGATTTACATCATGAACATTGATCTATACAATTGGGATGCGATGACACGCATCAACCAAGTCAGCGAGCCTGACCACCCGATATCGCTAGCCCCTCGTATGACAAGCATAGTGGCCTCTTACGGCAAGCATGTGTTGCTGAAGAGTGATTCTAACATAATTATTGAATTAGCTGTACATTTATCACAAATAATCTGGGCATAAGCATTAAAAAATCGATAAACATAATACTGATAAAGTTTTACGACCGAAATATGCTATACACATGAATTCTGAAAATCAGCTTGTCATATTTATTTATATGTAAAATCTAACAAACAGCAACATTTACTTGATATTTCTGAAGCTCTGTTCTCATTCTTCAATGAATAACAGGTCAAAATGTGACGGTTTTCCACAAGCAATGGAAGAATAACGATAACAATAGCATAAACATGACATGGAACAAACAATGACATGTATGTACAGTGACAGACACCATAGAGAGCAAATTGAAGACAAAACAAGTTTATCATCAACAAAACATGACGTAACATGCATTATATATATGGTACACCTTTGTCATCGTTAGACGACCTTCAAATTTACAAACAAAACCGGGAAACACGTGAAAAGGATCTCGCACCATGTCCAGGACTAGAAACATAACCGTCGGACACACCTTCTCTGTGTGAGAGATGCCCTCTCTTAGTGGGTGATGCAGCGTGTATGTGGGAGACGCCCTCTGTATGTGGAAACACCGTCTCTATGTCAGACACATCTGCTCAATGTCATACTGTTTCTATGATAGACACACTGTCACTTGGTCTGATACACTGTCTGTGTGGGACACACCATCTCCATGTCAGACACACCCTCTCTATGTCAGACACACCTTGTCCATGTCAGACACACCTTCTCCATGTCAGACACACCTTGTCCATGTCAGACACACCTTCTCCATGTCAGACACACCTTCTCTCTGTCAGACACACCTTCTCCATGTCAGACACACCTTCTCTCTGTCAGACACACCTTCTCCATGTCAGACACACCTTCTCCATGTCAGACACACCTTCTCCATGTCAGACACACCTTCTCTATGTCAGACACACCTTCTCCATGTCAGACACACCTTCTCTATGTCAGACACATCTCTATGTCAGACACACCTTCTCAATGTCAGACACACCTTCTCTATGTCAGACACACCTTCTCTATGTCAGACACACCTTCTCTATGTCAGACACACCTTCTCTATGTCAGACACACCTTCTCTATGTCAGACACACCTTCTCTATGTCAGACACACCTTTTCTATGTCAGACACACCTTCTCTATGTCAGACACACCTTTTCCATGTCAGACACACCCTCTCTATGTGGGAGACACCCTCTGTATGTGGAAACACAATCTCAATGTGGGACAGGTCATCTCCATGTCAGACACACCTTTTCCATGTCAGACACACCTTCTCTATGTCAGACACACCTTCTCTATGTCAGACACACCTTTTCTATGTCAGACACACCCTCTCTATGTGGGAGACACCCTCTGTATGTGGAAACACCATCTCAATGTGGGACAGGTCATCTCCATGTCAGACACACCTTTTCCATGTCAGACACACCATCTCTATGTCAGACACACCTTCTCTATGTAATTTCCTAGCGCACTCAGAAATTGTTTTGTAATGGAATGCAAAAACTGAAATCGTCACGGAAATCATCTGAATAAACAAATGCAATACAGCAGGATATACATTGTGTACCCGAGATGAAGTTCTCTATGGCAGTCCTGAATGCAAGGCTTAACACAGTTTCACTGTACATAGCAAGATCACACATGTGATTTCTAATTCGAACATGAACGATGAAAATTAGAAAAATATTCAAAAATGTACGATATTAATACAAACATTACAAATACTTTTCAAAAACATGTGCACCTTATCAACAGAAAAGCATAATACAAAATATTTTAAATAGTTTCAACATTATATATATAAGATACAAAATATAGTTGGATGATAATTGTTGCATAGCGTATTGAGTAGCAGTCACAATTGATTTCACATCTGAAAAGATAGTTTCGTTGTGTAATAAAATCCTTGTAAGAAATAACCTCCTCATGCCAGTGAGGTGAGGTGAGACAGTTTGTGTCATTATGCCCAGGGATGTCACAGAGGTTACCGTCAACCGCTAGATGTTATTCCTGTCAAATAGTCAGTGTGGTTGAGAGCCCCATAATCAAGAACATTTGGTGAATTTTATTTTGTGATGTATATGAGTATTATCTTTTCTCTTTCTTGGATTCTTAATTTCTAAAGAACCGATTAATATATTATATATCATGAAACTGCATATCTCACTTTCTTACATATCTGCTAAAGTCTGCTAAGATCTTGACAGCTCTTACTTACTATTACCACTCTCCATACACCATAAAAATAGATCTATTTCAAGGTCTCTGCCCAGTGTGCACCATGCTTCAGACAAACCAAGCTGCCTGTGAAGAGCTAGGTTACCAGACACTTGACCATCTCATCCTACCGGGTACCCATTTACTGGTGGGTGAACAGACACATATTTAGAATGATGCACTTGCCAAAAGAAACACCACAGTTGATACATGTGCTTGAGGCCAAAGCTCTGAAACTTTTAGGAAGCAAGCTGTCGACCATGATCACCCATCCATCTACTCTTGGAGACCGACGTTGATAAACTTTCCTTGAGCTGTGACCTGTTCACTGTACACAGGACCATGCTTTGTTATGTCAGGATGATGAATTGTAAATGTCAGTTTCAATCTAGATTAAAGATGGGTGGTAAATCTAGATTAAAGAAGGGTGGTAAATATAGATTAAAGATGGGTGGTAAATATAGATTAAAGATGGATGGTAAATCTAGATTAAAGAAGGGTGGTAAATCTAGATTAAAGATGGATGGTAAATCTTGACTACAGATGGGTGGTAAATATGAATTAAAGATGGGTGGTAAATCTAGATTAAAGATGGGTGGTAAATACAGATTACAGATGGGTGGTAAATATGAATTAAAGATGGGTGGTAAATATAGATTAAAGATGGGGGTGGTAAATACAGATTAAAGATGGGTGGTAAATATAGATTAAAGATGGGTGGTAAATATGAATTGAAGATGGGTGGTAAATCTAGATTACAGATGGGTGGTAAATCTAGATTAAAGATGGGTGGTAAATCTAGATTAAAAATGGGTGGCAAATACAGACTAAAGATGGGGGTGGTAAATACAGACTAAAGATGGGGGTGGTAAATACAGACTAAAGATGGGTGGTAAATATAGATTAAAGATGGGTGGTAAATATAGATTAATGATTTTAACTAGCGGTTGACTGACTTTGTAGATAATCTATTATATATGACAAGAATGCTATGGAATACTTGTAATAAAATCATGATTTTGTGTCCAATAGGAAAAACAGACATATACATAAACATTGGCTAAAATGTAGCTTTCATATTAACAGAATGTAAGTATTTATGTTTTGACAGAAACTGATTCAACAGAATTCAGATTCATAGAGTCAGCAGGGCCTGTTAAGTTGAGGATACTTACACAAGAAATAATGGAAGAGACACATTTGGTATCTGTTCCATATTCCCTTTAAAACGTAGCCACACCTGTTTTGAAATATATTTTTAAAATTTACCTTGCTCATATTATCAATATTAATAACCTAAATCAAACAAGTCTTTGGGGAAACCAATAAAAAAACTAAAAAAGACATTATAAATAAATAATATATATATACTTCTATCTACGGACATGTCTGAAGGGCACAGTAATTGAATACCCAAAACCTCTGGAATTATGAAATAACAAAATCTCAATACAAAGACATATATATAGTGAAAATATGAGCAGATTTTCTGGATTAAGAATAAGATTTATCATCCAAATCAGGCTTCCACTGGAGATATTACTTTGGTGAGATCAAGTGATCTATTCAAGGAGATATGACTACAATGAAATTGCATCACAATACTTTGCAGACCATTGTGACATCATGGGTTACCATGACATCACAGTAAAATGACATCACTAATCTCTCTGCCACTGAAGCTGTACTTTTTACCAATCTCATTAAAATCAGATCTAAGTTCTCGCTGCTGCTAAACAAAGATCTGAGCACATCCCAGTACGGGTCACGTCAGAACGACCTTTCGCAGACTTTGACTGACCACTGAAATGACTTACAAGAAGTCGACATCAGCCAATTAGAAAGCAGCTTTCTCCAGCTTTTCGGCACTTGTTTCAACCTGGCGACTTCCATTTCAGACAACGCTTGAAAAATATGTTGACACAGTTCTCGATTACAATTTTGAAAACTGAACAAACGAACACTCCGGAATGTCTAATATATGGTTGAGATTGCATGGCAGTGCTTCCCACGTACTGTGCAATGCCTCCTCCGTTCAAATGTTTATCCCATGGAAGCGAGAGATAAGACAATAATTTTGACGGAATCAGTCGCACAATCCGAAACTGTCGTTCAGAATACCCCGTGTTAACATTTTCAAGGTTGTATTATTACAAAACACATTCCGACTGTCACTTTAATGATCTGGTAAGCGACACTTTGATTGGTTGGATGAAAGGTCGTTCTGACGTGACCCATAATGGGATGTCCTCAGATCTTTGTTTAGCGATAGCGAGAACTAAGATCTGATTCAGTGAGATTGTACTTTTTACACTCAAGGAACTGCTTATGACGATTTTCGAACTGAGAAAGTTAGAAGAATGATTTGGATGACAAACAGAATCTCACCCTTGTGAAAACATTTGGAGGTGGTCGGATGTTTCAGATTGATCACTGATGAGGAACAAGACTCGGTATCAACTCAGCTGATCTTTGAGGATCCATTATTTCGGCAGGAGAGCCTCTACTCTGTCATGGTCTCAACATCCTTATATGGATGAAATAACACAGATACTGTAAATCATGAAATTAATGCGTCTCCAAAAGAATGTGACCGCTGGCCCCTAGCCAAAAATGCGTCTCAATATGAATGCGACACCCCCTCCTCTCAAGCATCAGTGGATTTATATCTTAAGAAAATACAGGAGAATCCACACCTTAATCCAACCTTACATTAGTCCAATCACACACCAAATAGCACCGCTTATTAGTGCTGAGTAGAGTACTTCAGCTAAAACAATACATGCGCGCTGGCTCGTGTCGGCCTTTGACGCAGTCGCAAAGAACAAAGACACTGTGTTGCGTGGGTGGCGTCTGTCTGGACTTGCAAGTGTGATCAGTGATAACATAAGTGAGTAGAACTCTTGTCTTGACCCCAGCAGTGACTATTCACAGGATGTGATTAGTGTTTGAATGACATTGTTTATATACTTGTTACAAGAGCTGCAAACAGCATAAGCAGCCAAATTATCCCTTAAACTCCCAGAAATAAGCTTAACCCTACCTATCTCAAAATCAGAAATTAAAAGTGTCACTAAACAAAAAATCACCAAAAATGGCAAAATATATACCTAAACACAAATAGCCAAATCAGAAAAGTTCTTAAAAAAAACCTAACTAAACCAAAAATACTCCACCCATCCAAAAAAATCGATAGAATAATGACTAAACTGCAAACAGGCCACACCAAACTAAATAACCACCTTAAAATAGCTAAACTACACACAACAGGAACCTGCCCACACTGCAAACAACAAGAAACAGCAGAACACGTACTCATCCACTGCACACACTACCAAACACACCGAACAACACTACAGACCACCCTAAATCTTAAAACCGGACTTACACTAGAATCAATCCTAAATCCACAAAATGAATTAGAAAAATTCAAAGCCTTAGGCATATACTTAATTAAAACAGGACTAATTAATCGCATTTAAACCCCAAATAAACTAATATACCAAAATCACATAAACTAACAAACCACCCACCACACACAGCTCCCTTAGTTCGTCCTCCATCCACTCTTGGCATTCATTCCAAATGTCAAAATCTCAAAATTACTATATAAGCAACCCCTAAACCCCCCTCCTGGGTTGCACCACCACGTCCTTTTCCCCTTTCGGAAACACATTAAATGGCCTGGTGGGCCCGTGTGCGACATACGCTTGCAGTCGGAAAACGCACGTTAAATCTCCAATATAAGTAAGTAAGTAAGCTGCAAACAGTGTTGTGGAATACATAGTTGTTTGTTTTCAGTGTATGTCTAAGTTGGTATTTCTGCTACCCAAAATGTCATATTGTTGATATAAATGCGATGTTTAATAATGCGAGCAAAGACCACTCTCATTTTTCGCATTTAATTCACGCTCGCGTTAATTTCAAGATTTACAGTAATCAGGGAAATGAGTATCTAATGAAACCTTGTGATTGATGAAATCAATGATATTGTTGTCGACGTTATCAAAAGATACAGCATCTTATTGTGAGTAAGACAAAAATATTTTTGGAAGAACTGCAACCGGTGGTAAGTCTCTGTTGATATCACGATATACCATGTTTCCTCCTGTAAACATTATCACCAAGAACTCGCAACTCTGTAATACTGGTATCCTTACAAAGAATGAACAACACAACTGCCGAACCATGTCTGTCAGTAATCTGCATCTAGTTGTTGGCCATGAGATGAATATAAAAGTTGATGCTTGTTGTCCAACTCTTTTCCAGAGCTTCTCGGAACTTGGTCTGGAAGTGGGCCTTTGCTTCTTCGTCGGTGAGATCTGGTTTGAGAGTTTCCCGCAGATAGTCTACGTCTTTGGTGCAGGTGAGCTGCGGTATCCCTGACGACAGCATCATGAGGAAGAGGGAGAAGAGGAGAGGAGCTTTCTTCCTGAGGATCAGATACGCCTTCTCACAGGTACTCTGGAACCTGGCAACAAGATACAGGAAACGAACTACGGTTATAACGAACTACAGTTATAACAAACTACGGTTATAATGAACACGCTTATAAAGAACTGACGGGTATAAGGAACGATCATTTGTTATATATGCTCAAAACAAACTACGGTTATAATAAACTAAAATTAGTGTGCCCTTTGAGTTCGCTATAACTGTATACTCTTATGAATAATATACTTAGGCTATTACCAGTGAGGAATATAATATATCTGATACATATGAGTTGTCTGAAACCTACTACCAGCCATGACCTTCAACATTTCCTTCACAGAGGATAAACAGCAAAACCTTAGCTATTAACAGGGGTGCATCTGGGAACAGCCTTCTCGCGATGCTGTTACATGTGTACCATATGGGGTTTAACATTGCATTCAAGATTATTCCAGTTATACAGCGATGTGTGTATGCGTGTCTGCTGGTTTTATACAGCTAGCCCAGTAACCATACCACGGTTTAACAATTTTACCCCACTCTGACACAGTATACAGACTCTGAGCTATCCAGTCTGGTTTTATAACCTTACTGACGAGCACCAGGCAGGCGAACACCAAGTATCATCTTTTAACATCTTTTGGTATGATGCAGTGGGGAAACAAAGAATTGCCTTCCGTTCTAAAGGAGACACTCTGTCCGCAAGACCATGGAGGCGGTCTCCATACATAGGGAAAACATGTAAGAATTTTTCTTGCACGATCCCTCTACAAAGGGGGGCATCTGACACACAACACACAACGCCTACCCACATTGTCAGTGAGACTTTCCATTCTCCGGGCATACACAACTAGACCACTGAGGTGGGAATACTATATACAGTGACAGAAGTAGCAAATGTGTGCAGGACAAGTGGGATAGAATGTTATTTTACGCTATATCACGATGACCATTAGCCAGTGGTCGACAGTATGAGTAGCAAGCAATACTGTTAGGAACAGATGACAAACAAGGGAAAAAGTGAGCATGGCTCACTAATACCCCCGACCCGCCTAGTGTGTCAGTAGTTTCAAATTAAATAATGGATAGGGTTAGGGTTTGAAAAATTCATTAAAAAATGGAAAATTAATAAAAACAAGTTTCTTCTTTTGACTGCACCCCTCCATATGACACAGATTATATGTACTAAGTTTGAAACGAATCCACTGAATAGATTAAGAGAAATCGCGCGGACAAAGTTTTCTGATGGACGGACTGACGGAACCTTGGTATAACTAACAATGAGTCAGGTCACAAATTATAACCAGCCAATCATTGTCAGTCTTCTGAGGACACATATCCATAAGGTCACCTCGTGGGTGGTCATGGTGCATTACTTGGGACTTCTGTCAAACACAGCTGTTTTTACCTTTTGAAGTTCTCGGAGTTGTTGCTCTTGCCCTTCTGAATGACATAGACGAAATGTGTCGTGAGCACGAAGGGAACACGTTCTCGCTTCACACCAAACTTGCTCTTGAAGTTGCCCAAGAAATGGCCAAAATCAATGTGGAATAACTGAAAAAGAAAAATGGATCATGAATTATTTATTTCGTCAGCCAGAGTGGCGGTAGGCATTATTGCCAGGGATAGATATCATGACGGCCTGTAAATAATCAGGTCTCGACTTGGATTTTGTTTGTGTGTTGTTTAACGCCACACCCAGCAAAGTTCAAGCTGTATGACGGCAGTCTGTATGATTGACGTCATGAGCATCGATCTTCGCAATTGGGATACGATGACATTCATCAACTTAGTCACCATTAGTAGCCTCTTACGACAAGCGTGGGTTGCTGAAGATCAATTCTAACCCGGATCTCCACGGGTCGTCTCAACTTGTCAAACCAGTGTCTGAAGGTGAGTGCACAAATCTAAGCCAATAGGGTACAATAATTACAACTTCTCGGTGAAGAGAGGTGTATTTCGAACAGTCACTTGCCTAGGGAGACACCTGTGCTTCATGTGTTTCAGTGTAGGGCTGGACTGAAGCCCTGGAAACTTCAAGAACATGACACCCATCCATCTACCCTCTGTGACCAATGTTGCTTAACTTGTGAGTTGTGACCTGAGCATTGTACCCAGGACCACGAGTCACCACTCTTCATTCAACCAGCCAAGTCTCTGAGCCTGATCACCTCACACTCATGAATCAAAGATGTTTCTCTCAATAATATTCCAGCTCTATGACAGCTACCTGTAAATAGTTTAGTCTGGGCCAGACAAACCAGTGATTTATACTGTGAACAACGATCCAAGATGTGGGTTATAATGACACGCTATCAATCAAGTCAGCAAGTCTGACCACCCATACCATTGGTCGCCTCTTACCATCAGCCTAGGTTGCTAGAGACCTGTTCTAACCCGGAATCTCTACAGGCTGTGCATTGGTCAGCTTTTACAACAAGCACCAGACACCGGAGACCTTTTCCAACCCAGAATCCCCCCATTGTCAAGGAGATGAGTCAGTGTTCCTACCTGTCCAGACTGTTTGAGCATAATGTTGTCGTTGTGTCTGTCCCCGATACCCAGGACATAGGTGGCGACACAGTACCCAGCACACGACAGGATGAACTCCTCTACTGCCTCGTCCAGTCTGAAACAAACACAGAGCTTTCAGTAACTCTTGTAAACTGCAGGTCAAGGTCATTCAAAGCAATGTTTGGTACGTTTGTTGCATGGTGTAACTGGCAACTTGTCCCAGTTTCTAAAACACTTTTTCCAGGAGAAAATACACCAAACAGACACCTTCACACGGTTCTTTCATTCAAACATAGGGCTTTCTGTGCTTGCAACCGAAGAAAGGCGACAGCATCATTACCTTGGTTCTTCTTGAACTCTCAACAAGTTGCCCTTACTAACAAGACTGCATTACATGTGTCAACAAGCATTTTAAAGTAATAAATAGTCTGTTAATTGTTTAACACCGCACTCAACAATATTCCAGCTATATGACATCAAAATGTAAATAATTGATTCTGGACAAGTCTGGGAACAATGATCCACGCCATCAGGGCCCAGTTTCACAAAGCAACCTTAGTGCTAAGACTATCATAAGCCTATGTTAAGGTATGGGAGTTACAATTGTCTTAGCGCTATGATCACCTTGTGCAAGTGGGGCCAGGTAGTAAGGCAATTAACCAAGTCACCAAGCTGACCACCATTTGGTCGCCTTAACTGCAAGCTGGTTGCTAGGTTGCTGGGGACCAATTCTAACCCGGAATCCCCACGGGGGAAGTAAAAAATAGATACAGGAAAAGTATCTCACATTTTGTAAGGAAATATAACAAACAGGGAATTTATGCTAATATTATTACCCAACATGGCATAGTGGCATGAGAATGTGCAGTTATTTCAACAATAACCATACCAATCTCAGTGATTGATGAATGAGCATCACTCCCTCCACTCCCCAGTGCACAATGAGTGACACCATCAATAATGAAAAACTCCATTCCAAACCTGCTTCTCATGATATCAACCACTGGATTGTCAATTATTGTTAAACAACAAACTAACCAACTTGGCTCTTGCAAGATGCATGAGGTTTCTGGGGTCTAATCTGCGTTTAAATCACTACAGGGTACACAAGTCTGATCGTTGTGGAAGGAAAACCCAAAGAGTTGAAAGTCATTCACTGTATTGTTAAATACATGAGTACAAGTACTGGGCTGCGAAGCCAAGGATCGTAATTGTGGAGAATCATGCACTTGACCCTACACCGTATCCTGGTATAGCAAGAACCATAACTCTGCAAAGTGAATGGAAGGCTCCTTCACAAATCAAACAAAGTAACTTAATCCTCATGCCCTATCTGGCTAAAACAAATTCAGTAATTTTACTCATTTGTCTGAAAGGTGAGGTGAGGTGAAATTGGGTTTAACGTCGCGTCCAAGATTATTGCACTTATATAGCGACGTGCATGTACGAGTATGTGTTAGTGTGGCTGCTTGTACTAGTCTGGACTGATGCTGATTTATAGTGCTAGCTCACTGAGATACCATGTCGCAGTTTAACATGAATACCCCACTCAGACACAGTATACTGACTCTGAGCCGACCAGTCCTTGTTTTAGCCCCTTAATGCCGAGCGCCAGACAGGGTAACAACAAGTACCATCTTTTAACGTCTTTTGGTATGACCCGGCCGGGGATCGAACCCCGGACCTTCCGCTCTCCGGGCGGACGCTCTACCACAGGACCACGGAGGTGGTCTGTCTGAAAGGAACAGTACATCCTTGTATGAATGAGTTATTCGCTTTTGTGACCCGTGAAGATCTGGGGTAGAATAGCTCTTCAGCAATCCATGCTTGTCATAAGAGGTGACTAACGGGATCTAGTGGTCAGGCTCGCTGACTTGGTTGATGCATGTCATTGATCCCATTTGGGTGGATGGATGCTCATGATGTCAATCACTGGAATGTCTGGTCCAGAATCGATTATTTACAGACCGCCATCATATAGCTGGAATATTGCCAAGTGTGGCGCAAAACAACAAACCAACCAACCAACTCGCTCTTTTGTTAATACTTCAATTTTCTATTGCTGTCCACCATTGCGAGCTTCATCATTGCTACTATTAGGGCGTTTACATTCAGATGAGTCTCCACATATTTTCACATACTCACTCCCCAGTAACTTGAAAGAACCAGAAACTACCCAAAATATATCTAAATGCAGAGCTCCAGATAAGCTGCGTATCTGCGTAAAATACGCATCAGAAATGCAGAAATCTGCAGTAAAGTAAAATCCAAGCGTATCAAATAAGCAACGAACATTACAGATAAACGTGCATTCCGCCAACCTTGCCAAACTCCACGATGACAGTCACATCATGATCATTTGCCATCACACTTTCTCTTAGAAGTATCGTGGTATTTTTGAGTCCTATAAAGCTCTCGAACCCACACGACACCAGTTTGCAGGGACTAGATGAATAGTGTTTTTAAATATTTAACTTAAATACCCACATGTGCAAAAACTAGTACCCAGACAGAATTACTGATACCCAATGATTTTAAAGTGCATGGGTAAAATACCCACAACACTAAAAGATTTTCTGGAGCTCTGTAAATGTAACATAAACAAGTATTTGTCACAGAAGTGACGAAATGTCCCCCGCCTGTATATACACCAAAATACCAAATATGAAGACAATCCAGCGATTAGTTCTTGAGATATCGCGGCAACTCTGTTTTCCAACTCCAAAAGCAGATTTGCCTGCTGTGACCTTGAAAATAGGGTCAAGGTCACCAAAACCGACTGGTGTCTGCGGTGTCTGTATATACACCATAGTTCCAAATATTAAGACAATCCTGCGATTAGTTCTTGAGATATCGCGGCAACACCGTTTTCCAACTCCAAAAGCAGATTTACCTGCTGTGACCTTGAAAATGGGGTCAAGGTCACCAAAACCGACTGGTGTCTGCGGAGTCTGTATATACACCATAGTCCCATATATCAAAACAATCCAGTGTTTAGTTCTTGAGATATCGCGGCAACTCTGTTTTCAAACTCCAAAAGCAGATTTGCCTGCTGTGACCTTGAAAATGGGGTCAAGGTCACCAAAACCGACTGGTGTCTGCGGTGTCTGTATATACACCATAGTTCCAAACATGAAGACAATCCTGCGATTAGTTCTCGAGATATCGTGGCAACACCGTTTTCCAACTCAAAAAGCAGATTTACCTGCTGTGACCTTGAAAATGGGGTCAAGGTCACCAAAACCGACTGGTGTCTGCGGAGTCTGTATATACACCATAGTTCCAAATATTAAGACAATCCTGCGATTAGTTCTTGAGATATCGCGGCAACACCGTTTTCCAACTCCAAAAGCAGATTTGCCTGCTGTGACCTTGAAAATGGGGTCAAGGTCACCAAAACCGACTGGTGTCTGCGGAGTCTGTATATACACCATAGTTCCAAATATTAAGACAATCCTGCGATTAGTTCTTGAGATATCGCGGCAACTCTGTTTTCCAACTCCAAAAGCAGATTTGCCTGCTGTGACCTTGAAAATGGGGTCAAGGTCACCAAAACCGACTAGTGTCTGCGGTGTCTGTATATACACCATAGTCCCATATATGAAAACAATCCAGTGTTTAGTTCTTGAGATATCGCGGCAACTCTGTTTTCAAACTCCAAAAGCAGATTTGCCTGCTGTGACCTTGAAAATGGGGTCAAGGTCACCAAAACCGACTGGTGTCTGCGGTGTCTGTATATACACCATAGTTCCAAACATGAAGACAATCCTGCGATTAGTTCTTGAGATATCGTGGCAACACCGTTTTCCAACTCCAAAAGCAGATTTACCTGCTGTGACCTTGAAAATGGGGTCAAGGTCACCAAAACCGACTGGTGTCTGCGGAGTCTGTATATACACCATAGTTCCAAATATTAAGACAATCCTGCGATTAGTTCTTGAGATATCGCGGCAACACCGTTTTCCAACTCCAAAAGCAGATTTGCCTGCTGTGACCTTGAAAATGGGGTCAAGGTCACCAAAACCGACTGGTGTCTGCGGAGTCTGTATATACACCATAGTCCCAAATATGAAAACAATCCAGTGTTTAGTTCTTGAGATATCGCGGCAACTCTGTTTTCCAACTCCAAAAGCAGATTTGCCTGCTGTGACCTTGAAAATGGGGTCAAGGTCACCAAAACCGACTAGTGTCTGCGGTGTCTGTATATACACCATAGTTCCAAACATGAAGACAATCCTGCGATTAGTTCTTGAGATATCGTGGCAACACCGTTTTCCAACTCAAAAAGCAGATTTACCTGCTGTGACCTTGAAAATGGGGTCAAGGTCACCAAAACCGACTGGTGTCTGCGGAGTCTGTATATACACCATAGTTCCAAATATGAAGACAATCCAGTGTTTAGTTCTTGAGATATCGCGGCAACAAACAGGTGGGACGTACGGACGGACGGACGTACGGACGGACGGACGGACAGTCGTGAATACTATATCCCCCGCTTCGCGCGGCGGGGGACAATAAGGAGCTCCCTACACAGTACTCTTAGACAGGATGTCCTGCCAGTCTTCAAGAGAATGACATGCAATGAGTAAACAACTGAAGGTACACTGCTATTGAACAAATTGATTTATATAATTCTTTCCTTTACGGTTGACTTTGTCATTGTAATACCTGTTAGCTAAAAATCGTAATGATTATGGCAACGGTAAGACTAAAAAAAATAATAGTCTTGGTTATAAGGCACCGCCCGCATTGTTATAAAGTTTGCCGCACTTTTTGTTTTAATTTCCATTTTAAAAAAGCCCCCCCAAACCTTAAATATTCCAAGTCAAATGGTAGTCAAATACTGTATTCCAGTATTTTACTCATCAAGGAATTCATTTGTGTAGGGAGGCCCTTTCCAAGGTCGATTGGGCAATACTGTTTATTTGGTTACACAACTGTTTATTTGGTTACATACTAGTTTGAATAACCCCCCCAAAATAAAAAAAAATACTGCCCACCTGCACTATATTTTGAAAAGTCATTGCCTGAGAACCAATTCTTTTTTTTTAAAGCCTAATTTATGGTAGTCATGTCTGAACAAGTGACCACTCCTACACAATCAGTACAAGATGAGACTTACGACTCCTGAGTCTTATGATGGTGCTTGAGCCATTCAAATACTGCCTTCTTGTCAAAGGCTCCTCTGTTGAACCACTTTTGTATGTTAGCAATCGTCTGAGATTGACCCACTGCCTCGATCACACCCTGTTCTTGTCCTGTTGCTAGGCAACGGTACACGTTCATCCTTCACACAGAAAATACATAACATATGTATAAATGAGAGAATTAATAAACTAAGTCTGGGTCCAGTAAACATCTTAAAAACAAATCTAAATTATCAATAGCCTGATGATATTCTCACCAATAATTATCAATGATAAAAGGTTTTTTAACCAATCATACCAAAGTCATTACTACAAAGAATTACATGATGCAAATCATTGGACGATGCTGACCTGTCACAACACAACGATCTGTTTCATGTCTGGGTCATATGTTCAAAATCTTTCCACATTTATATTTTCTTTTTTATAGATGCTTGGATTGCTAAGGCCACCAGCTAAACTAGCAAGAAAAGTTATTGTTTGGGTAAGTAATACTTATCATTGTCTTTCTTTGAATAATCACAAGTGAGGGCCAAAATCGATTGACAGAACTATTGAAACAAAGTTTTCTTCCTGTAAGTCCATGTGTACGAGTGTCATAGAGTGAACATTATTTAGGAACATTTAGGTTGCCTTATTTTAAAGCTGAATAATTGAATATATTCCAAATTATTTGGAAAATATTTCTAATAATCAAAAGGGTAATGCACTTCATGTTCAGCAGACTACAATATCCCCTATAATGATACTACTCAAAAGAAGTAAAAGAACACCCGATTCTTTCATATTCCTCAAGTTAATCTGGACTGCCATGACACCCGATTCTTTCATATTCCTATAGTTAATGTTAAAACCAGCAAGCAGCCAATCAGAAAACAATAGTTCATTAGCGAATGTGGTCTACATGGTTTTGGGTCTACAGAAATGAACGAAAATAAGATTGCTAATCAAATGTCCCCGGATCACTTTCAGTTTATCTAACTGCACTTGAAGAATACAATGATGGCTTCTTACCGAAGGTCAAGGCCCTCTGACTGCCAGATGTTGTCCATGATCTCCAGCATCTGCAGTGTCAACATGTCCTGCCGCAGATCTGTATAAAACATCATCACGTATTACCGGTGCATCAACCTACAAAATCATTGTTCAAAGCTACCTTGAAAATTCAAACATTTGCAACTCTATGACAAAGGAAATCTGTTCTTATTACAAGGTTACAGGTGTACCAACCCACAGGTCTTAACGAATAGTCACAGGACATAGATTTCCAAAAAGAAAGTATTTTTGTAGTGTCACAGATAAATGCAATGTTTTTATACTTACCTCACACTAAAAAGTGCTTTAGCCTCCCTACCTTACAGACAGTAAGAGAGAGTGAGTGAGTATGGTTTAACGACGCTTTAAGCAATATTCCAGCAATATCACGGCGGGGGACACCAGAAATGGGCTTCACACAATGTACCCATGTTAGGAATCGAATCTGGGTCCTCGGCATGACGAGCGAATGCTTTAACCACTAGTCTAATCGATCGCCCCAGGAAAAGTGAGACGGTTGAAGCAGTCTATTGCCAGAAATTCAAACTGACAAACAAAGCAAAAATAATTTAGCAGGGTTAAGAGTATTCGGCGTCCTGGCAGTCATCACTTGTTTGAAAACATAATGGTTAGTTGGCAAGTTCAACTCCAAACATGGTTGAAGCCATCTATCACAGTGGGGAGCTTTCACTAATGGCAGCGATGGTACAGGGAGCTTCGGAATGGGATTTTCAAGATGATATTCAAGATTCAGAGGTAGGTCTCGGCTCACTGTGAGGAGCTTGGTACTCCCTCATATGCATCACTGTATGACAGCAGATCCGTGGCAGATCAGTGGCGCCAGAACGGGGAGGCAGTGGAGGCAGACCTTGCTTGAAGTAGTCCATGGCTGACAGGGAAGGCAGGCTTGCTGTAATAAACCCCAGTCACACTGAGGAATCACTGCAAAGTGTGCCAGGTAAGGTTCCCTCCTGTTGACATGGAGGTCCATCGTAAATGAAAGTGCTTGAATCTCGTGAGGGTTGTGGGCTGGTCCTGGTGGCGGAGTGCATTGAATGAAAGCATCTAAAAGTGAGTTGGTCGAACTTGTTAGTTCTTGTTGAAAAGAGCGAGACTGTCAATCATACTCAGCTTCGTGGAACCTTTCTTGGGGACCAGAGCACACATTCCCCATGTTAGGTTTTTAAAACAATTCACATCTCATAGAATATAAACATGTTCATGGAAAACAAGTTGATCCATGCACCCAAACACTAACACTGTGTGTAGAGTGCAAAACAGGCAACAAAAACTTATTCCACATATATATCATAAGACATATGTTAACAGGTCATTTACAAGAAAATAAATGAGAGATTTACCATAAACTTCTAAAAACATAAAGCAAACAACGAAGTAGATAGTTCAAATAAGAACCCACAAGATTGGATAAATTCAAGATGGCAACCTTGCCATGAAAATGTGCTAAGTTACTTGGTCGCAATTGTTCTGCGAAAATAAACAGCAAAAAGCAGAATTATACCGCAGAGAAGTGGAATATACGTCAGAAAAGGATATACTTGAGCAAAGCCACCGGAAAACCGTCAGGATAACTTAGAAGTATCAGAGGTAAGCCTCGGCTCACTGTAAGGACGTCTGTCATGTTGGCAGAATATGAGGGAGTACGGGCCAAGGTGGATACCTGTCTCTCTGTTCCAGTACTGTCTGTAAAGGTAGGGAAGCTAAAGCACTGTGAAACGTCAAGTACGGTAAAACAGACTTCCAATAGAAAGCATTATTAGTCACAAAACAGATTTCCAAAAGAAACCGGGATCTTCTGCTCACTAACCATCTCCATTCTTATATATAAGGGACATGTCTTGACCAGCTTCATCCTTCCACACCAACCACAGAGGCCTCTTCTTCGACTTCATGAACTTGCACTTGTCTATGCTGTAAATGAAACAAACCAAAGTTATATTTCATTGAAATTCCGTTTTAAGCCACTCTCAGCAATATTCATGGATATAGCCAAGTGACACCAAGAATGTGGGCAACAGATCCTGTGGTGTGACAAGTAAAAGCTTTAATATCTACCATGCTATCTAAAAGTAATGGGATGATACACCATTGCATCGGTGGATCGCAATTTCTTTACTTCTCAATACAACTAATGATCACAATCGCACACTAAATTAAAAGCATCGATTCTTACATTAGATGTATTTTATAATAAATGTTACACTAAACACTAATGACTGGAGAAAATGAGTAGTGAAACCGAAATATTTTCATCCATTGTGCCATTCCTGACAACTGTAAATCGTATTTGGCCATCCTGTCTATGAAAAAGATGGCTTACGCCCCAAGGATAAGAGCACATGCAAGTATCGTGATACGTATTGGATCGCACAGCTGGTGTATACTGTCAACTAAACCATGGAGGTAGTCTCCATATATAGGGAAAACGTAACATTATCTTTCAAAAGTGAGAATCTCATAACGCAGAGGTGTACAGCACACAAGGCCACATCACATCCTGAGTGAGAGAACAGATTGTGTTCTAAGTTACAGCCAAAAATATTCCAGGAATATCACAGGGATATTTTCTGTTAGCATAAGTTGCTGGGGGGTCAATTCTAAACTGAAATCCTTATTGGGAGACAAGCATAGGTTGCTGGGGACCTAATCTGACCCAAAATCCCCACAGGGAGACAAGCATAGGTTGCTGGGGACCTAATCTGACCCAAAATCCCCACAGGGAGACAAGCATAGGTTGCTGGGGACCTATTCTGACCCGAAATCATCACAGGGAGACAAGCATAGGTTGCTGGGGGGGGGGTAAATTCTAAACTGAAATCCTTATGGGGAGACAAGCATAGGTTGCTGGGGACCTAATCTGACCCAAAATCCCCACAGGGAGACAAGCATAGGTTGCTGGGGACCTAATCTGACCCAAAATCCCCACAGGGAGACAAGCATAGGTTGCTGGGGACCTATTCTGACCCGAAATCATCACAGGGAGACAAGCATAGGTTGCTGGGGGGGGGGGGGTAAATTCTAAACTGAAATCCTTATGGGGAGACAAGCATAGGTTGCTGGGGACCTAATATGACCCAAAATCCCCACAGGGAGACAAGCATAGGTTGCTGGGGACCTATTCTGACCTGGAATCCTCACAGGGAGACAAGCATAGGTTGCTGGGGGCCACTACTAACACACTGGGTCAGCACCAGATTAAAATGGGGACTTACTCTAGACTTCTGAGCCTGAAGAGAGGGGACAGAGGGCTGCAGAGGTTGGAGAGGATGTCCTGGTAGGTCTTTTGTTGGAGTACAGCCTGCATGTCCTTCTTGGCTTGCTCATGGGACTTCTGAAACACAAGTGAGTGGGTGAGTGAGTGAGTGAGTGAGTGAGTGAGTGAGTGAGTGAGTGAGTGAGTGGAAACTTTTGTACATGATAAACATTTCATTTGGAATTCTTACTACACTCAGAATCCCAGTTTGGTAACTTATATATTGTATCCCTAAAAGGAGCAAATTTTATCTGTTTTGAATTTTTTCTCAGACCAAATTGTAAATTTTACATTAAAGTGTATATTTATATACTTATCCCATCTCACACTACGCAATTCTTCCTTTTTCTTTCGCCCGAACACATCCCAGCATCACCATGGTCACCACCCCTAAAATCAGTCACACACTGTAATCCCACGCAACTTCATACGATACGACGTGACTACCCCAGCTGACTGGTTGGTGGAGCTGTGATGCGGGGATGGTCGGGAGGGCACATGGCGTGTGAGATGTATAAATATACAAATTAATGTAAAATTTAAAACTTAAAACTAATCCTATCTCACAGTATGCATTTATCCCACGGTTGGACGGTGGGGTGCAGATACTTGTAGAGACTGCACCGCGAGACAGGCATGAGGAAGCTGGTGTCAAACAGTGAAACAAATAAACTAATTCATAACGATGCCTGCTGTCGTAGACACGAGTGAGAGGACAAAAACACAACAACAGAACAAGTAGAACAAAATGAGGTGAGGCGAAATGGGGTTTAACGTCGCGTCCAAGATTATTGCACTTATATAGCATGCACGTGTGTGTGTGTATGTGGCTGCTTGTACTAGACCGGACTGATGTCGATTTATAGTGCTAGCTCACTGAGACACCATGCTGCAGTTTAACATGAATACCCCACTCAGACACATTTTACTGACTCCGAGCCGACCAGTCCTTGTTTTAGCCCCTTAATGCCCAGGCCCAAGCAGGGTAACAACAAGTACCATCTATTAACGTCTTTTGGTATGACGCGCCCGGGGAACGCGGTCCAGAACAAAATGAAATCGTGTAGAACATACGTTACATGGTTTCACGTTTGACATTGTTACACAAACTGCAGCGTAACTTGAACAAAGATCCATTCAGTGATCAAGAACGAACAAGCACAACTGACCTGATCACCCATGTTGTATCGCTCACTCTTGATCAACCCGTTCACGACGCAGAGTTTGCCGAGAGCTTCCTGCTGCTTGTGTAGCGCCATCATATGCTCGCCGCTCGCCACCAGGTACACCTCCAGGATGAGCCGGTACTGTACACTCACGTACGGGTTGTACATCTCCGACCTGACAACACAGTCATTGGGAGTCAGTCAAGGGAGATGATCAGTCACGTAAACTTCATCATATAAGGTGAGTGTGTATGTATTGATTTCAGTTGCATCAGCAGTAATGACAGTTATTCGTGGCTTAGATCGGTATAGGAACACGAATAATATAATCCATGCCTTTGTGAACATAATTCATATTTTTATGCTTAATATGATACTTATGATATGCAAAGAGCGGAATAATCTCTTAATCACATGATGTCCTTCTTTCAATAATTCACGTTTACAACATAATTTCACACTGGGAAGTAACTTTTGAAACCTGTTATCAACGATTGGTTGAAGCACACTATGTATGACAAAGTGACAAATGACAAGAAGCCGCTTAAATTACTACTTGATAAAACAATGAGGCCATAATGGATTAATCTAGACCTGATCAGAGGCCAATATTCTGGTCCAAGGCAGCAGCAAATGTTTTCATTTTAAAATTAATGTGATAGTCACGATTAAAAAAGCCTTTGCTTAAATTTTATATCATTGCATTGAATACAGTGCAAAAATACAATATTATAATATCTCTGAAATAAAGAGTGAGTGAGTGAGTGAGTGAGTGAGTGAGTGAGTGAGTGAGTGAGTGAGATTTGACGCCGCTTTTAGCAATATTCCAGACGAAGAAATGGGCTTCACACATTGTACCAATGTCAGGAGTTGAACCTGGGTCTTCGGCGTGACAAGCAAATACTTTAACCACCAGGCTACCCGAACCCCCCACTGCCAAGAGAGAGAAAACAAAATATGGCCTTGCAATCTACCACAACACCGAAACAGAGTTAGAAGACAATAAGAACAGCATACTTGAGCAGCCAGAAGAGTTGATGTCCGATGTGCTGGTTGCCGAGTGCTCTAGTGAGCAGGAACTCCACCAGGGGGCAGCACAGGTGAGTCTCGTACTTCAACGCCTGCACTAGCTGCAGCAGGTAGCGGGATAACTCTTCATCACTGAACCTGTGGACGAGGTGAGGACAAATGGTCCATAAATTGGGGTGTTTATGGGGGAAGCCATCAAATTTTGACATATTTGTGGTCGCTAAAATTTGTGGACATGAGGAAGATTCTCAACCCTGCATTCCCCTTCGTCCTTGGCCTCAAATGTCACCTGACATCACTTCATCAGCTTATTCTTAGAATGGACATCTCTGTATGTTATTTCCCTTTCATCATACACTGAGGAAAGGAAGTTCACAAACTATCGGTTCTTTCATATTTCTATAGTTATTCTGTCATCACATGGCATTACATGACAGAGTAACTACAATTATAGAAAAAACCCATGGGGATCCTTAACTTTTCTTGAGTAGTTTACAACAGGATAGCCAACAAACACAATGGTGTTTGAATCCAACACTTAATCAAGCATTTGCCATTCTAAGGAATGTGTAACTATGGAAACTCACGTGTCTGTGTTATCCAGACAACTAACAGCGAACTTGCGTATGTTCTTGTCTGGGTAATTGAAGTCCAGTAGTTGAAGTGCATAGTCCACATCCAGTTGTGGCCAGGTCTGCAGCACTGCGATCATCTGCCAACAGTATATCAACAGTTAATTTTTATCTTTTTTTATTTTTCAGTTCAGATTTGACCGACTAGAGTCAAAAACAGAGTCAGAAACAGAAATCAAATGTTTTTATATGCCCAACTGCTAAATCTTAAAATAGAAAAATAAAGCATACAACATACAAAATTCAAACTCACAACAAGCATATCCTGGCACGGCTAAGGGATGTAATTCTGCACAGCTGATATAAACCCTCAGAAGTATCCTTCAAACTATACCCCCATCTCAGATCAGAACCACGGATCCTAAAGCTGAATCTGGTACTCCGACTTAAGAATCCTGGCACCTACTTCTCCCCTCGCACTACCACCATATGATTGTGGCGTGTAAATAATCGACTCCAACTTACAATCCTGGCACCTACTTCTCCCCTTGCACTCCCACCATATGATTGTGGCCTGTAAATAAACGAGTCTGGGCAAGACAAACCAGCAGTGCTCCAGCTAAGTTTTCAACTAGAGGAGTATGTACCACATTAATCTGTGATGGAGGAGTTCTGACATACTTTGAGGAGTACAAAACACTTTGTAAAGCTAAAAAAACACTCAAACATTGCTGGTTAACTTGAATGTAGTAAATAAAAAGCAAGATTTCATTAACTGCATCTTGTGTTTGACCGATTATAGAAACAACACGTTTTATATCAAACACAAACAATCTTGAAATTTAATTCCACCAGTGTGACTATGTCTGCTGTGAGAGACATTATCTATCAGCTTATTAAAAGAACCACAACCATATCTCGTATGGAAGACAAAACCAAAGTAACTTCAGGTTCGCAAAAGAAAGTCTTATTTACTGTTGTTTTGACAGTTTCGCCACAAAATGATCAGATTAAATGACTGAGTCACAACACAAGCCGAGCTCGAGTTATTGCCAATGAATACATGTATTAGCCAATCAAATAAAAGAGAATACAATAGCTGCTAAATGATTGGCCTTGCTTTTAGAATTCCCATTTGACATACAGAATCTCCATGTGTACCATATTCGACGTAATAAGTGCCCAGGGCACTCTTATAATTAGAAAAAGGGGGCTCTTATTAGAATATAATTTTGGTGAGAAAAAAACAGAGTTGAAAGATCGTAAATGTCATGGTTAATGCTGACAGCCTGAAATGATACAAAAGAAAAGTCTGTGCGTATCATACACGACAGATATATTTTCCTGAATTTAATTGCCTATAATTAATGGTGCATATAACACACGAGTGCATATAAAACACAAAAAAATAAGTACATTGATCAATCTGAAGGGGTGCTAATTGGGATTGTTCACTAGCCAATATATGTGCAAATATCGCCGTGGGCACTTATTAGAGCAGGGCGCTTATTACGTCGAATACGGTATTGATTTACCTCACCTGTGTAATATGATCGCTGATATATATTGTGAAGACTGATATCATTTTTTAATGTGAATCATAGTCTAATGTAAAAAGTAGGACGTATTACTCATTAATGACCATATTACTTCACTTTCAAATTTAACTGGATTCATATCTGTAAATTTTCTTGCGGTACATATACACCGATACGGCCCTTACGTGGCCCACTGGACCAGTGATTGATGTTATGTAGTTTGTTTGTTGTCCATCAGCACACTCAGCAATATTCCAGCTATATGTCGGCCTGTAAATAATCAAGTCTGGACCAGACAACCCAGTCATGATACGATGACATGCAACCAGCCAAGACACTGATCCTGAAGACATTTGGTCGCCTCTTACAACCAGCATACGTTGCTGGGGACCAATGCTACACCGGCATCCCCACAGGGTACTCCTTCTACCACGACACTGGTCTCCTTACCTTGGCCACATCGATGTGACTGTTCCACTTGACGGAGCTGAGCACCTTGGGTAGAGCGTGGGGAAACTTGTGGCAACACTCGTACCTCATCATCCACAGAAGCTCCTTGTCTTGTTCAAACAACGGGATGAGGGAGTCCCTCTGGACAATCATCATCAGCTGCTCCAGGTGGGACTTGCTCACTTTCATCATCTGGAGTGAGTCAATTAGTTATTTCAGAGTGAGATCAACACGTCTCCGAGTTTGGGTTGAAAATGTAAAACTGCAAGCGCGGCGTGTTTTATCCTACTTATGAACCGTCTAAATGCAAGAAATACCAGAAAAATAAGAAAATATCGACATACCTTATAGTGAAACAATACAGTGAGTTGTGGTATAAAAAGAATTCGATCAAAGTGTGCGAGGGAAAAACATGTGCAGCAAGGACCAGCTGGAGTCATGACATGTAAAACTGAACAGCTTCTCATCACCTGCCCCGGTAGCTCAGTGTGAAAACAGTACCGGTAGGTTACAAAACTTAGCATGATATGTGAGGTTGCAAAGCAGGTTTAGAAGCGACTTATTTCAAAACCAGGCTTTGGAAGAGAACCGCTTCAAAACCTAGGTTAGGAAGATGAGCTGGTTACAAGGTTTACCCGAGGTTATCGGCAACCTAATGTAGTATAGGGTAACACGGTGACAGGTTTATAAAGATGGTGAGGGAGTGTGTGCATCAGGTTAAATGCCGCTTTGAACAGTATTTCAGTTTTTCAGTACTGATCCCAAGCTTTGGCATGGTGGTAACCAATCAAGGATCATAATCAGGGAACTAAACTTATGATCTCTGCACCTAAGGGACATAACTCTTCACAGTGAATTGCAGCACCTTAGACAACGGGGCCACCCATGCACCAGTGGAACAGTACAACATAAACTACAAAAACAGTAATGACTTTGTAAGTTATTTTAATGTAAATGTGTATTTCAATAATTAAAAAGTTATTGTTTGGTTCATGTCACAGGTATCCCTGTGTGATGTTCTATGGGGCGGTAGGGGTAGCCTTATGGTTGAAGCGTTCGCTTGTCACGCCGAAGGCCCAGGTTCAGTTCCCCACATGGGTACAATGTGTGAAGCCCATTTTGGGTCTCCCCCGCCGTGATATTCATGGAATATTGCTAAAAGCGGTATAAAACCATACTCACGCTTGGGTCTACTTGCTAGCCTTGTGTCCCAATTAATTCAAATCTATGACAAATAATTGAATAATGCTCCATGTCATCTGAGCAAGTGGGACCAAGAGTTCATCACATAAGACCAACCTCACAGTGGCCACACACAGTGAACACAGTGGTCAGATGTCCGAGGAGCAGGTCAAGCAGCTGAGGAGGTTTGACTTGCACAGTCAGGAACACCGTAAACCTGTCAATCTTTTCTCCTACATCCAACTACTTTGACCCATGATACATTTGCGGTAGACGTATCAGTATCAACTTACAGCGGATCCAGGGGCTCCACTCGGCTCCATGTTCTTGGCAGCACATTCAAGCACCTGCAACACAGACTACCCATATACTGGGATACAATACATCTTCATCTTAAAGAAGCACTATCATCCTCAGCCTCATTGACGCAATAAAACTCTACTGGAGCTAGAAAATAACCATTTATAAGTTATTTATATTTTTAACAGATTTTCAAAAGTGGCAAACTCCATTTTGATTAATTGAAACGAATGACTTCATCATTATTCATGTTTCTATTTATCATTCGATTTATTGTGTTATCATCTATCAGTGAATTATTTGGGAATTTAGGCAAACTGGAAAAATCAAAGTTATTATGGATTGTTTTACATTAGTTATTTCATTAAATTCTGATGGCATTTTACAGGGATGGCACGAATCACCAATACATCGATACAATTCTCAGATGATATGATCGATTCATTACCTGTGTCGATTCATATTTTAAACCTGTACTGATTCATATTTCAATCCAGTATCGTTTCACACATGGAACATTTGAAACAGGAATGAAATGACTTTGTTGGCAAAATGAGTCCTACCTATATGTTAATAAACAATTTATCATTATAAATTTACGGTGCGCACCGTGTATCTACACTGTACCATGTACATAGTGTTAAGACTTAAATTGAAATTTGACGCATTTATTTTCAAAACCTTTTTAATAGTCTTAATGCCGAGTGAGTCAGATAAGCCAAATAAATCCCCAGCATTATTGATTTACATTTGTTTTCATATATGCTGCATATATGCCCCTCCAGTTACAAGGGGGAAGGAACCATCCTTGCTTTTACTTATTACAAGCCCAGTATATAAACCCGTCTGTTTCTAAAATGAAATTTTAACTTTCACAGCTGATTTTACATTCATTATAAAGACTACAAAATTTATCATTCATTTCCATCAAAAGCAAGCCACACAAGAGTTATTGAAGGGAAATTTATGCACAAAGTTTAATAAAAATGGCTAAATGAAAATAATACTCACATCTCTTTAACATTATTTAAAAAAAACTACAATAAATCAAAAGAAAACTTTTGTCCAACTACAATTACTTGATAGCACGAGTCAGGAGGATCAATTGTTGTATGTTTATTTTCTTGAAACTGTCATAAAACACCTTAAAATAACTAACAAAGGCAAATGGTGTCAAATGATCAGGAAAATCCACGAAGGGAGGGGGTTCTGCAGTGATGCTTGGTTATTTTCTAAAATGTAATCAATCGATACATCACACAGCAAACAATCATAGCACTTGTCCCAGGCCAGGTGGTAAGCAAAGGGGAGGTAACTCTGGATTATCTAAAATGAACATTTTGCATGGAGTACAACAAGCAACTAACACTAACTGGAAAAATGCCAAAAGCACTGATAATTGCTTGTGGTATCAGTTAACCCTTTGTGTCAGACACCAGCACTTGTTTAAGCCTCAAGCACAAAGCTTCAAATTTACAAATTATTTCGATGATTTCTACACAACCTGGTTCCCTTGTTCGTGTTCTCTATTGTACATATACAAATGATTTTATTAATTCCATTAAATTGTCAGTGCAAAACAGCATTGATGACATTAACATTAATTGACAAAATGATAGATTACCATGGTTACATTGGTGTTTATAAGAAAACCTCACACAAATAATTAATTTGAGAAACCATTTCACAGTCAGGAGGTAATACTTGAAATACGAAACAAACCATCAACACACAAACAAAACACAGTTCGACAACACTGAATTCTTAGCATCTTAATGTTATCGAGGTCAATCATGAAATTCATGTCACAAGTGGCCGCCTCAGTGCATCATAAAATTAACATGACAAGCCCAACCTTTGCAATCTTATAACACCGTAGCTTTCATTTTTTAACTATCTGGATGAATCATGTTTTGCCTATAACAATAAGATTATTTAAGATTGCATAACTGCAAATGTGCTCCAAAAGATAATTGATCGTTTTTGGTGGTAGAATAAAGTCTTATATAAGCGTTATTCACCATTTCTCGTGTATTTTACATTTCATCTAATTGTAAAACAAAGTCAGCAAAACTAAAATATTGTCAAAAGTCACTTTTGCTTCCAACTTCACTTGTTTTTGGTTGTTGATCAGAGTTGTAAACCAACTAATGATATATAGGGCCTAAGTATTATTTATTTCAATCACAAACACAAGTGAGTAGGAATTTGGGAAAGACCAGACAAAAACATGAACACAATATGCTCTTGTAATAAATAAAAGTTTTGAGGAAGAATAAATTGGGGATTATTGTAAAATTTAATATCTTGATCAGTGACAGCAAATAATGAAAATATTAGAATTGTGACAGCAAAATTATTTGAACTTTGATAGCCAAACTTTAATAAGTTAGGGCAACATTGCCAGATTGTTTTGGGTTAGTCATCATATCAACGAATGACACATTGCTTGCAAAAAATATGAAAGCTGCAGTAACCATGGTAACAGTTTCAGTTGATTCAGGAATATTTGTAAAAATGTGGGGGAAAAAACACTTCTCATTGTCTCTCAGATATTTATAGCCAATATACAGAAAAGATAATATTCATAAATAATATATATTTCTGCAATGACATATGTGTCTGCACAATGAGTTTTGGGGATAGTATCATGAAAATCTAGTACTATGGAGTGGTGAATCGTGTAGCGGCTACCTCAGCCACAACAGTGGTACAACAACCACAACAGCTTGGTTGTCAGGCCAATGCAGGGAAAAGACAACATGTTGCAAGATATTTGAAAAGAATGACCTTACCCGTGAAATGTGCTAAAGTAAACGTAAATCAATAAATAATTGAACTCAAAATTAATTTAACAAAAAAAAATGAAGCTGAAATGAGCACTGAAGTATAAAATCAAGGAAATATACTGTATTCACCATAATAAGTGCACCCGGTGCTTATAAATTTACAATGCGAAGTGCTTCTAAAACTACTCATAACAAGTCAAATTTGTTGTCAGAGAAAGAGAGTCTTAACTTAGTTCAAATATTGAAGAAATCAGGAATATTTCGATGACAGTTATTTGACAATAATACACACCCCTTCTACGCTACTGTTTTTTATATCAACTCTAAGGCTAAAAATAAAATAGTCTTGGTTCTCAGTAAATAAGTCTTGACATATATCCTCTGCTGGTGTTAGGATCAATTCTTACACATTTTTTGTGATATGGCATTAAACTAAGTTTCAAATAGCAGCTGTGTTATCTTAAAGTTTGAAATACTTAGAGACAATAAATTCCAAGATGTTAATAAAAAAGAAGAGAAATAATACTTGTTCACAACACTACAAAAATAACAATACTTGAACAGCTTTGTTACTGTAATCTACTTACTCTGGGATCAGTCTGTGTGCAGAAAAACAAACACGCAAAATCAGTCACATATATCCTGCTGCATGAAAAGTTATATCCATTCCAAAAGATGACAATTTTAGCAAGCCTTCAAACCATATATGTTGTTTTTCAAATTGACATTAACAATTCTGCTAATTGGCAAAATCTGTAAGTGAAACAGCTGTGGTATCCGTGAAGAGTGGATTCATTGAATTCGTACATTGTTGCAACCATGTATTCCTATAGGGTGTTTCTACCCATGTGTGAGTGAGTGAAGGGGGTTTCATGCTAATGTCTATAACCACATCACATCGTTACATCATTGATGAGGACTAGGCAAACCATGGTCCGCTTTCACAAAGCGACCTTAGCACTAAGACCATCATAACTCCCACTTACAATAGTCTTAGGGCTAAGATTGCATTGTGCAAGCAGACCTTGGTTTGAAATTAATGCTTACCCATAAGCCTGGGGCTAGCAGAAATTACTTTGGACTTATAACATTATTACTCTACTAACTCTCAGGGCCTGCAAGTTTTTTTACACATGCTGTAAATTATCTATTGTCCTCTCGATTCCTGAGCAAATCGCTGTGCTAGACATTTGGCACAACCTTCTGGGTTTTACTCGTCATGAACAATGCTTTAATATGGTTTATAGATTCGCCTTGTCCTTCAACAATTAAACAGGAATATAATACTACAGCGTGTCTGCTCAATGTGGGAGGAAAGCCGGAAGTAATGCAGGTCTTAGACGTTTACCACTTGGTAAAACCATGAACCTAGAAATATGTATAAGGCAAATCTGGGATTCAAACACAGGCCAAATGTGTCTGGCATGCCATCGGGACACGGCACTGTTTACAATTGACCCACACTAGTTTCTCATTGCTTCAGACTAAAACCAATTATTTAGCTTATTCAAGGATGAAAGAATGTGTTCTTCAATTGTTCAGACATTATAATGGCCTAATGCTATTGTTGTTGCAGTAGATTCTGAGCCAGGAATTCACACCGCCATTCTGAACATGCATTTTAACAAGTAAAACTTGCAACTATACTAGGTCTTTATGCAAAATCATAGAGAAATGTTATATCAACTATGACAAGGCTTAAGTCAGAGCAGTCACTCGAATCTGTTGCTCCAACAGATTCTCATATTTTCTCCACTGCATTATCCCATTTTCAAAATAATTAATTCCTTCTCTAAGGGACAATAGATATTTACTGAAGCAAGAATCAGACTAACACAGACACATAAAGTATGCAAAGAGACACATGAAATTATTAATAGCCAGAATTTCAGAACATTGATTAGTGCCCAGGGCTTCAACACATACAGCAGCATTCTTAGAACAGTCAGCTGCACAATAAACGGTCTTGACACATTCTCACAAAATATAGCAAATGTTAACATAAGCCAAGAATAATATTAAAAACATAGTAAGTTATCTTAATAATTAACATTATTAACAACGTTAAAACATTTGCAACATGATCATAAACCATTAAAACAAATTTAAACTAATTATTTTACCTTTTTCCTTAAAGTAATTATGTGTAACAGAAAAATCTAATTGACAGGAATAATTGATATTGATATTTGAAAAAGTATGAAAGATGACCTAGCTGAATAAAAAATGAAACAACAATTTTGCAATTAAAGACTTAATGATGTGAGAAAAAAACGCTTCTTTTCCAAAGTTACTGAATGTGTTTGTTCCTGGTCCTCACCTTGTCAAATGCTGGGTAGCGAATGTTGTTCTTCATGTTGAAGTCGGGGAACTTGATGAGAAGTGTTGTGGCCTCGTTGCCCTGTGCGTTGGGAGTGACAGACCCTGAAGTGAGTGAATCAGTGTTTAATGGAGCTCACAGGCAGTAGTTAACATAGGTGAGTCCTGTGCCCTGTCCCACAAAGCAAATCTATGACCTATGTCTTTTGTACCTCTCTTTCGTGAATGTATAACTGAACTTTAGTTACAGCGCCATGTATTTCAATCGTATGAATCTGACATCCGAAACAGGGATTAAAATAAAGGGAGGTCCTGGGCCTTGTTCCACAAAGCAATCTTAGACCAACAAATGTTGTAAATGTCAAACTTTAACAGACTTATGATCATCTAAGCGCAAAGATTGCCCTGGGGTTCACTAGGTGTTCTGCTTTACTATTTGAACCTAGGGACCCCGGGGCCTTGTTCCACAAGGCGATATCGGCACAACGACTGTCGTAGGTCAATGTTAATGTATGGTAGTTTCAATCATCTCAGCGCAATGATCATTTTGCGGAATGGGATCCTGAACTTTCATGCTTTATTTTGAACACAGCATAAAGAATTAAGACTAGAACCCACGATCAGATGTTTTGGGCAGCTAAGGGACACCACTCTGACTACACAATCTTGGACTACTTCTGCCTCCTGCATTGTGCATTGTGAGCCGACACAGCTAGAAGCAGCAACAGTAAAGTTGCAATATTCGTGTTTGTTTGTTTGTTGTTTAATGCTGCACTCAATATACCAGCTGTATGAGGGCAACCCCAGAAAATCCAGTGATTGACATCATGAACATTGATGTACGCAATTGGGATACAATGACATCAAACAAGTCAGTGAGCCTCTCCCGACAAACATTGATTGCTGAAGACAACAATTCTGGCTACCATGACATCACAATAACACGACATCACTAATCTCTCTGCCAATGAAGCTGCTTCGCTGTACTTTTTACACTCAAGACACTGGTTATAACTGTTTACAAACTTAAATAGTTTTGAGTATGTGTTTGGAAGTTAAGTAGAATGTAACCCTTATCAAATATAGGAACAATGTTTTACAACTAATCAGCAAGCCTGAGAGTTTTAATCCTTTATCCATTTGTGTTCATATATTTGACAGCAAAAGCGATAATGGTTGATTTCTCCATCAATGCAACACTACCAATAATCTAAATATGAAGTCTTTGAAGGAATGTAGTAGTGATACACATGTCGACTTCTTTATTATGAGGGGGCACAGGTGGCCCAGTCGTCTAAGGCGCTGAGATTCACTGTGCAGAGTTGTGTCCCTTGGGCACGCCAGAAACCTATGATTGTTGGTTCGAAATCCCGGTTCGCCCCAATTATGTTTCTAGGTTTGTGAGCACCATACCTGTGCTCGTAGGTTTCACCGAAGTGGTAAACGTCTGAGACCTGCATCACTTCGGGCGTTCCTCCCGCATTAAGCTGCCACGCCGTGATATGACTGGAATACTGTTAAAAGCGGCGTTAAACCAAACTCACTCACTCACTCTTTATTATGAGGAACACAACATTTCGGAGTATATACTTACTCCTTCATCAGGTGAACCTAAAAATAGTTCATTTTTAGACGAGGGTTTAGTCTTACTCAGTTTGGGAGAGTTCTGAGTAGGACCCAGGTAGCCACTGGACAACCCGGACCTGTGATTAGTCTTACGATATATTGCTTAGACATGTTATAATTAGAATAATAGTCCATGGTTACACTACAATTTCTTTTTGACACATTCCTTCTGACTTTTTATATGTTTGAATAAAGAAAAAGCTTCAGTCAACTTCAGTGCCTGCATGGCAAGATTGTTCTGTACATGCATCCAAATAGTTTTGCCAGGGCTCCAGTTAAGCAATTCCCATATTCCCGAGGCAAGATAGTTAACTGACTTTAAAAGTACAGTTTCCACCCTTGCCGAACTAGGCTGGAATTCCTGGGCTTGATCGTAGCGCCACCTGTGGCTTTTACGAGCTATGTCCCTTCCATGCCTCTCCTATGGACAAATCAGATTCCACCTCTCGTATCACTTGCATTTCTTCAAAAAAAATGGCAGCGCCCAGTCTTATCGATCAGATCGATAATCAAGATCAATATTGTGATAAAACGAGTCTTACATCACTAAGTGCATCAATTCACATGAGCATCTTGATTAAAACCATGGAAAGATTTAGATAATATCTGTTGACAACGAGTTGCTGGTGCACATGTTTTGCACATCTTTCAATCGACCGAAATCTGCATGACAGTTTACGAACCGGATTTCGATTTCGTTGCTCGATTTTGATTGGACTATAGACTCGTTAGCCGAAATGTTACTCCATCATACCAGCCTAGTTCAGCAAGAGTGGAAACTGGACTTTTATAGTCAGTTAACTCTCTTGCCTTGGGAAGATGAGCAATTCCCAATGTGGCATTTGGTTTCCAACTCTTGAGACCAATTCCATTTATTTATGTGCATTAATGGGTGAATTTTGAATCCACTGTCGGCAATATTCCAGGCAAATCAGGACAGCCTGTAATTAATACAGGTGTGATTGGAGGGAATGATCGAATGTAATTCCTCAACAGTCTGAAAATCTGGGAAAGACTTGTGAGTGAGTGAGTGAGTGAGTGAGTGAGTGAGTGAGTGAGTGAGTGAGTGAGTGAGTGAGTGAGTGAGTGAGTGAGTGAGTGAGTGAGTGAGTGAGTGAGTTGGGTTCAACGTCGCTTTTAACAGTATTCTAGTTATATCACGGCGTGGCAGCTTAATGTGGGAGGAAAGCCCGAAGTGATGCAGGTCTCAGACGTTTACCACTTCGGTGAAACCCACGAGCACAGGTATGGTGCTGACAAACCTAGAAACATAATTGGGGCAAACCGGGATTCGAACCCACAATCATAGGCTTCTGGCATGCCCAAGGGACACAACAAACCACAGTGAATCGCGGCGCCTTAGACGACATGGCCACCCGTGTCCCCCGGCCCTTCTTGAGAATGGATGATATGTTGGAAGCATCATGAACCTACCAATGGGGTACAGGAACTCCTCAGTCTGCATCTCATCAGTCCATGGCCACATTGGGAGATTCCGGTCACCTCGGGTCAGCCGTGAGCGGAAATCAAATACAGCTACATTCACCCATGCAACTGCTGTTTGATCCTGAACAAACATGTTAATATTATTATAACAGTAGTGAAATCAAAACTGCATCATTGAGGAGCATTTAACACTGATCCTTAACAGTTTGCAAGCTATGTGTAGTCTTGTCCAAGTCTACATAACAGATGAATGTCGGCCCTGCAGCGAGTCAATAGAACATAAAGTCTGCCCTGACTGCAATCTTCAGAACAGATGAATGTCTGCCCTAGCAGCGCAGAATCAAGTCTGCCCTGTCTGCAAATCTACATAACAGAATCAAGTCTGCCCTGTCTGCAAATCTACAAACAGGTGAATGTCTGCCCTGTCTGCAAATCTACAAACAGGTGAATGTCTGCCCTGCAGCGAGTCTGTAGAACAGAATGTGTGCCCTGTCTGTGAATCTACAAACAGATGAATGACTGCCCTGGCTGCACTTTTCAACATATGACCTTATCAGATGCCTGAGCTTCTGCCCTTATGGGGTTTCAGTATTACAGATTCATGACCAGTGCCCGGTCTGTGTCTGTTCAAGCCTCTATATTGCGACATATTTAACAAGATTTCAAGCATGTTAGCATCACATTTCACACCTATCAGTGCTGCTTGCCATCAAATCACAACATAATATAAATAGACATAAAAAACTGACCTTGTCTTCAATTTTGTACATCTTTCAATTGCAATCTGTTTTAAATCATGATTTGTAACTCCGACAGTCCCTAACATGTCACCTTCTTCTTCCCTGTCGCACACAGAGTGTAGCAGACGCGAGCCATCTGGGGGAGGTCTCGGGCAGCGATGTCAAAGGTCACATCGAGCTTCATGTTACACACTCCCTCTTGTACGATCATCTCGTCTGTGGTCTTGATGCCACAGAGAGCCTCGCTTCCGTGGTACAGACCCATGAACAGCTTCACCTGCAACAGACAGTGAGTGAGTGAGTGAGTGAATTGAGTTTAACACGTTTCAGATGTAATTAAAAATCATGTGACACATACCCAGTATTTGATTGGTTGTAAGTGACCAACATACGTTTGACAACCATTCACAAGTCAAAATATAGAAAAATATAAAAACATAAATTTATAAAGTCTTCTTATTGCTGCATGGGTTTATGGATAACAACCCACTGAACAGATCCTGAAATGTGACCTATTTAAATGAAAAACAACCCATCTTAGTGGTGTTGTATTGTGTTAAAATATATAAATGTCTCCTAACTTAAGGGTAAAGGCAATTAGGTAGAACAGCCTGCAGTTAGCCCAGTTCACGGATTTTCAATTTAGGGCACCGCTCATTACAGGTGTTTTTTTAACCCATCTCTAATAAAACCCCAAGGTTAGTCTTAAATTCAGCATCTTAGAAAAGCAATAAGTTTGGTCTAACCCCATGTAGAGCAGCGGTAGAAATTGGCACTAGTCCTATAGTCCTTGCCAAACTTGCCAATAGTTAAGGTATCATAAGAACTAGTAGAAATTTGCCCTTTGTAATAGGCGCCCTCTAAAGCCTGTAAAAGGCGCCCAGTGACAGTAGAAATATAGCTATATTTGACCAAAGGTCAGATGTTATATGCTGCCGTATTTTGCGTTGTGTTTCTTCTTCTCTCTGGCAGTAGTCTTAGGTCTCTATATTCTAGTAGGCTCCTGGTAGGGTTTATCAATTCTAATCACAAAGAAAACACAAAGAACGGAGTTAGGTTTAAAGTTTATTTAACAAACAAAACAAAAAGGGGCCAAATCCTAACCTTACCTATTCCCTACATAATTTTCCCCCTTCCCTACCTACTTAAACCTATTCCCCCGTATAACTAAACTTGTACTATTAACCACCCGTCTAACTTAACTCCCAAAAGTAAAACATCTATAAACAAACCTATTCAATCATTACTCTATTTTTCCCCCACCCATACATCTTAATCTATCTCCTCAATGAAAGCCCTAAAAATAATAATGAATGATCCTGATTCAGGACGCGGGAGTCGACCGTGCTTACCAGATACTGGTGAGAGACGACTGACGATTCCCTACCCAGGGTAGGCTTATAAAGCCAACACGCGGACCATGTGACCAGGAAAACGGACACAACCAATGAACACGCTCCTTACATCTCGGCTCTCTCAATCATGGCTTCCGCCTAGCCGAGCATGCAAGGAGCGTGCCATCGTCACGTCTTCCCAGCCACTACGCCCGCGTGGGCATAAGCCATTACTCAAGGACTACAAAGATAGGTACTACGTCAGCCGTTCAACTCACCCTTATACTAACCCACCCATAACGTTATTAAATATATATATTTACCCACTATAACCACTGGTCGACTACACCTTTTTAAGGGTTTTGCTACATTATAAGGACTTGTGGACAAAAACTGTTAGTTTCTAACGCTGTAGAGTGTAATAAAGTATAGTTTATATACTATATCACCATACTTTATTACACTATAAATGGGGGTAGACCAGACTTTATTAATTTAGCAAACAATATGTAAAATGTCATGGACGGCAATCTCAACAGAATCAGGTCTCTGACATGATATCTCTGAGGATGCCTCCATTGGAGGTGAACTTTATAATCAGCCAATCAGAGCTATGCTTCTAAATTCTTGGTACGAGTGAGCGAAGCATTTAGACAAGCATATTTCATTCTGTATCTTGACAATGAAAATAATCAGGGAGATTTGACTGCAAAACATTAAAGCTGTGCGATAATATTATTATGGACCTTGCATACATCTCATGAACGCCATGGCATCTACATCCCCAACTATCAATGCAATATTTGTGTTCTGTGGTTTTCATTTTTTCAAAAAAATTCAAATCAAGGTGGTAAAGAAATGAAGCCAAATCATTTTCAAAAGCTGACATCTTGTTGGCTCAAGAACCCACGCATCCTTCATGTAGAAAGATTTGGGGTAAGGGTGTGGTCAGAGTCAATCTCATTAAAATCTGATCTTAATTTTCGCTATCGCTAAAGAAAGATCTGAGGACATCCCATTACGGGTTACGTCAGAGTGAACTTTCATCTGACCAATCAAAGCGTCGCTTACCAGATCATGAAAGTGACAGTTGGAATGTGTTTTCTAATCATGCAACCTCAAAAATGTTAACACGGGGTATTCCAAACGACAGTTACGGCCCGTACGATTGATTCCGTCAAAATTATTGTCTATCTCTCGCTTCCGTGGGATAAACATTTGAACGGAGGAGGAATTGCACAGTACGTTGGAAGCACTGCCATGCAATCACAACCACATATTAGACATTCCGGAATGTTCGTTTGTTGAGTTTTCAAAATGTTAATCGAGAACTGTGTCAACATATTTTTCAATCATAGTCTGAAACGGAAGTCACCAGTTTGAAACGAATGCCGTAAAGCTCAAGAAAGCTGCTTTCTAATTGGCTGATGTCGACTTCTTGTTGGTCCTTTCAGTGGTCGGTCAAAGTTTGCGAAAGGTCGTTCTGACGTGACCCGTAATGGCATGTCCTCAGATCTTTGTTTCGCGATAGCAAGAACTAAGATCTGATTTTAATGAGATTGGCTCAGAGTTCACTTGACCTAAGTTTGTGCCGTCAGATCTTCATGCTGAGATATCATATCATGGTATCCGAGTGGTGGATTTACGTTACCTTGGCACCATCAGGGAGCTGGACTTTGTTTATCCCTCGGACAGTGAAGTAGTACCGCTCCTTCAAGTCCCACACACAGAGGTCCTCTCCGCGACGGTCCGTTGATATTTGTGAGTAGTTTGCTATGCTACCTTTACGAGGAGGGACAGCCGGCTTCGGATCTGTTGCAGAAATAGAGGTAAATATTTGTTTGTCATTTTACACTACAATATTCCAGCTATATCTCTGTGGCCTGTAAATAAAGGTGTTCAGACAAAGCAGTAGTTGATTAGAAGAACATGCCCCTGGCTGTTGGGGTACGTGTACACTATCAAGTCACCCCATAAAGATCCGTGTTAGAATCGGTCTTCAGCAAACTATGCTAAATAGTAAGAAACTAGTGGTCAGACTCGCTGACTTGGTTGATGCATGTCATTGTATCAAAATTGTGTAGATCGATGTTCATGATGTCATTCTCTGGATTGTCTGGTCCAGACTTGATTATTTACAGACCACTATCATAAAACTAGAATATTTTTTAAGTGTGGTTTTAAAAATCAAGCAAAAATACAAACAAGTCAAAAAACAATCAATTCAAAGGACATCTTGATCCAACATAGTCACCTCTTACGACATACAATAAAGTGCCGGGGGCCTATTATCGCCAAGGTCCCCGTGGGAAGCTGAGCTGGTGTGTGGTCTGGGGTTTACTGTGCTTGGGACTCTATTTTATTTCCTGCCATATCATACAAGTAATTAGTTTTGACGAGGTCAGTATGTGAAAAAAAGGTGTCCTTGGGTCCTTGTTTTTGCCAATTGACCTCGTCAAGAGTATCGTTTCGTTTTGTAATGCCGAAATTCCCTTTAAAGTTTATGAAGCCTTTTAACATCCCATTTCATTCAAGGACGTATATATCAATATACGTCTTTGATTACAGTAACATAGCTGCGAACTGTGGAATTTTAGTACCCGACGCCATCTTGTTTTCTGGCAGACAAGTCAGTATTCATCACGTGACAGTTCAATACTGATGATGTGACGAGCCAATATTTGAGGTCACATGATTTGGGGGTCTACATTGAAATGTACTGTCTCACAGAATAATCAAGGGAATTGCAAGATTCTTAATGGGGATATAACAACATGTTAAAGTAATGTGGTAAGGGAAGCAACAATATGGTGACTTCTGTCAAGATCATTATTCTGTGGCATATCTCTTGGACAACTCAGGACGGCCAGTTGCAGCTCCTTGACTACCGTGTTCTAAATCATGCTCTTATGAACAGCAATGACTAAAAGTATTCCACATTTCTTCTTCATGAAGTTGTTTCAATTTTCACAAGTATGAGAAAGATGGAGTAGACAAGGTGAGATGAAATGGGGTTTTACGTCACAATCAAGATTATCCCACTTAAACAGTGACGCAGGTCTTGCATTAGCAAAAAAAACAATGCACCAGTGCAACCTATTATTAAAAAATGCAACCAAATATCTATACATTGTATCTACATGCACCAAGTGCATGTTATTGTTTTTTAAAATTTATGACTAACCATTACCTGTCCACACATAAACGATCTGTGAACACATTTAGTACCTAACACTTCGTTAGCTTTATTTTATTTCCCTGAGATATGTGTAATTAATTACACATGACACAGTCATCCGAGATCTGGTGCAAGTCAAATCAAGTTCCTTAAATCAAGCTCTGGTTTATTTCTAGCCTAAAGTATCGCGTATGATTATGCGGGAATAGATTGTTGCCAAGTTGAGATGCTCAAACTCCAACTTGTTTTTTTACGTCTGTTTTGCATTCTGGAATTCTGCTGAGAAACCGATTTGCAATCCGTTGTATGGACATCAGTGTTGGGAAGTGGCCAGCTAGGAACATTTCTGTTATTTGATTTCATCCAGGGTACATTTCCATGATTTCTGTATACCATGGCGTATTATTCTCCACATTATTGTTTAATAAAAAGATATAATTTGCATTTATTGTTTTCCAGGAAATCATCACTGGCTTTTCATGTGTGCAAGTCACATCAAGTACCTTAAATCGAGTCCTGGTGTGTGTTTGTGTGTGCGTGTGCTTTGCATGTTTATACTAGTCCGGACTAATGATGGTTTTAGTGTTAGCCCACTGAGATACCCGGCTGCAGTTTAACATGGATACCACACTCAGACACATTACACAGTCTCCGAGCCGACCACTCCTTATTTTATTCCCTTAATGACGAGGGCAAAGCAGGTAACAAAAAGTACCATCTTTTAACGTCTTTTGGTATGATACGCGGTAGGGCTGGGACGGGTAACTCGGGTACTCAGGTACCCGGGTCAGGTGGGTACTTAGTAGGACACGGGTACCCAGAGGACTACCTAGACCCGTGGTTAGTCACGGGATATATTGTTCAATGACAAAAATTATCTGGAACTCTATAGTGACACTAAAAGTCATTAATGTTTGCATGTCTTTCTGACTATGCACCCATTCATTCTAACTTTCCATTTCTTTGAACAAAGATATAACTTGAGTCAACTTCAGTGTATGCATGACCAGATTGTTAAATACATGTATCTAAATACTTTTTGCCAGGGCTATGGTAAAATAATTCCCATTCGGACATGTTTTACCTATCTCTTGAGACCTACAGCGATTACCCAGGTAGGTTCGGGTAATAGGGGGCTGCGCACCCAGGTAGTAAATTTGGACTTGTCCCAGCCCTAATAGTTCATCAAACCATCGACCTGCCACTCTCAATGCAGACGCATACCCACAAAAACAATTAAGGAATAATCAACATCCATAATACAGTACATCACCTATAACAGTTTCCCTGGCAACCAACAGAAACTGGGGGGCCGTGTTCTTCACAAGGCACTGGTACACATACTGAAAAATATACAACAGAGAGACATATTTTCTGGTCTGCCAAAAACATTTTTTCACAAATGCAAACATGCAAGAAAAACTAGAAAAGAACTCACAACTACATACAAAAACAGAACCAGTCCCTTCACTGGCCTTGCCACGGATACATGCCAAATTACTGATGCAAAGTCAAGCAAGAATCACCTACTTTCCTTTACCATGTTTACTGCCATTTAAAGTAATCAGAACATACCACAGGGACTTATGTCATAGGTAAATCACGACACCGAGGGTAAAGCAATCCCAATGTTTTTCTGGTATTTCTTGCATTTAGACAGTTCTGAAGTTCGTTGAAACAAAACTCCAAATTTACATTTGCAACCACGTCCGGATACCCCGAGGTTCAACTGTATTATCTCACATAATGTTGTTTGTATCATAGTCAACACTAATCCAACTATATCAAGTTGTCCTCTGAACAATGAGTGAGTGAGTATGGTTTTACACCGCTTTTTGCAATATTCCAGCAATATCACGGTGGGGGACACCAGAAATGGGCTTCACACATTGTACCCATGTCTGGAAACCTTACCTGGGTCTTTGGCGTGATGAGCGAACGCTTTAACCACTAGGCTACCGACCGCCCATCTGAACAATGAAGTCTGGACCACCATTACTAAACCAGTAGTTTAACAAGCTTTACCGTCTATAATCCAGGATGCTATACCCCATTCAATAATGATAAATACCCCGACCCATTAGCAACCAAAGATTCATTTTGACTTCGACTTGATTGACGTGATGCTAAAAATATCTGTCCACTCAAATTACAGTCATGAGAGAGAGATATTTGAAGCTAAGTTAATGATCTGGGAAACGGAGACGGTAAGTGTTGTGTTAGGTTTGTTTACATTATGTGAGCGCCAGTGTGTAAAACAATGTGTAAAACACTTCCAAACAAAGCTATGATGGCGAATGGGTCCAAGGCATTTATCATGATCATGATAATAAAATATGCTGGAAAATATAGGATGACTATCGCAAAACATATCATTAGAACAGTGGTTTTCATGAGTGTGAAAACTAAAAGCCATCAATGTCCTCCCTGCTCCTTACCTTATATTGTTGGAGGGGATATTTCACGCCATATATGTATTCCTCTATACCGAAGGACTTGAGGAGATACTGTTCCGGCTCATATACGAGGTTCCCGGAGCGAGACAGCTTCACCAGCACCAACTGGATCAGTTCGGAAGGTCTACACAAGCCGGGCAGACGGATCGTGAATGTGCTCTGGAACAATGTCGTGAGAGGTCAGAGAGAGTCAATTGGCTCAAATGGAAAACCCACAATAGCCAACCCCAGCCAAGAGGCACAGTCTACAAGATCAAATGCTGCTGTCAAGACTAATATGTAAGAGTAACATCTTGACCCCTCAACATTTGCATCACAGAACAACACAGATCAACCAACAAACAAGATTTCATCTCCACCATCTCGGATCACGTTCACCAAAACCCCAGTGACCAGATCCAGTGGACCATATCCAGTGGACCATATCCAGTGAACCAGCCCCAGTGGACCATATCCAGTGAACCAGAACCAGTGGACCAGCCCCAGTGGACCAGATCTAGTGGACAAGCCCCAGTGAACCAGAACCAGTGGACCAGATCTAGTGGACCAGCCCCAGATCCAGTGAACCAGAACCAGTGGACCAGATCCAGTGAACCAGCCCCAGTGGACCAGATTCAGTGGACCAACCCTTATCGTTCCTGCCAGAAACAACTCCATCAAAACATTCAATCCTGATGCTTCACCCCTCTAGCCACGTCACCCTTGTTGGTATGTGTTTTTGTAAATCTGTATTTATGTAACTCTTAGCTATATAACCTGCTTCTGCACCTGCTTCATAAAGGTATTAGTTGGATCATAGGTTTTCAGACATCAAACATTTTCGGATGGCCATGTTTATCGCAATTACACAGACAATCACACAGACATTGTACTTCCTCAGATGATGGCTTGTTTTTAAGACAAAGTTGTCTTTTATAAGTGGATGACATGTTTTACAGTTGTTCATGTGATTAGAGAGAAAACTATGACTGTTTTCTTAGCGCCTGAAAACCCATAACACAGGGATACTGAAACACCGTATTGAAGGAAAAAAGAAGTTGAAATCCATTAGTCAGCTCTGTCTCACGCAACCAAAGCAAACTTGTCTACCTGGGGACGGACTATTTAATATTCTGGCTTGGATTTTTGTAACACAATATTTGTACTGTTGATGCTTCAACCCACAAGAAAAGCATTCACCATGGGGCTACCTCACCACCCCTGGAACATGACAAGCGACTCCCACTAAGCTGATCACCTTGGACTCTTCAATGACGACTTCCACCATGATGTTGTTATTGAGTTTGTCTGTGATCTTGCTGGGGAGATCCACCTTGGGCCGCAGACGTGGAGGGAATTTGTACATCAATGCTTCGAACCATCCCTAAAACATGTTAATATAAGCTAATGAAAACATTTAAGACTAAAACAAACAAGGCAAAAAATGAACTGGGCTCACTAGTACCCCCGAGTCAAAACATGAAAAAAGCAATATTTTCTCGGAAAATCCACTTATCAAAATCAAACTTTGCGCTGCACCTCTCCTATTGATATAAGAGATGTAAAGCCACTGCATGAGAACCACTTCTTGTATTTTATTAACCTAATCATATATTCCCACAAAAACCTCAGTACAAACAGACAAATGACCAAACAAAACAAATTAATGGCCCCCACCCCAACCCCCAAATCACTGAGCTACACAAGTGAGTTAAGTAAAGGTCTGTATTAAAAAATAAAAGTAAAGTGCGCACAGGAACATTCCAAACCTTATCATTCCTGTCCTGAACAATCTTCTCACACATCTGCCTCATGGTGGACCGGAAGTCTGCCACTTCTGCCGACTGCCACGCCTCCACATTCTGCGGATCTGCAATAGATCAAATCATACGGACAAAGTGCATGACACTAGGATCTGCAATAGACAGCTCTCTCAAATCACACAGACAAAGTGCATGATACAAGTATCAGCAATAGACAGCTCGCTCAAATCACACGGACAAAGTGCATAACACAAGTATCAGCAATAGACAACTCGCTCAAATCATACGGACAAAATGCATGACACTAGGATCTGCAATAGACAGCTTGCTCAAATCACACGGACAAAGTGCATGATACAAGTATCACAATAGACAGCTCGCTCAAATCACACGGACAAAGTGCATGACACAAGTATCAGCAATAGACAGCTTGCTCAAATCACACAGACAAAGTGCAGGACACTTGTATCTACACCAGATGGCTCGCTCAAATCACACGGACAAAGTGCATAAAACTAGGATCTGCAACAGACAACTCGCTCAAATATCAGCAATAGACAGCTCTCTCAAATCACACGGACAAAGTGCATAACACAAGTATCAGCAATAGACAACTCGCTCAAATCATACGGACAAAGTGCATGACACTAGGATCTGCAATAGACAGCTCGCTCAAATCACACGGACAAAGTGCATAACACAAGTATCAGCAATAGACAACTCGCTCAAATCATACGGACAAAGTGCATGACACTAGGATCTGCAATAGACAGCTCGCTCAAATCACACGGACAAAGTGCATGATACAAGTATCAGCAATAGACAGCTCGCTCAAATCACACGGACAAAGTGCATGACACAAGTATCAGCAACAGACAGCTCGCTCAAATCACACAGACAAAGTGCAGGACACTTGTATCTACAACAGACGGCTCGCTCAAATCACACGGACAAAGTGCATAAAACTAGGATCTGCAACAGACAACTCGCTCAAATATCAGCAATAGACAACTCGCTCAAATCACACGGACAAAGTGCATGACACAAGTATCAGCAATAGATAGCTCGCTCAAATCACACGGACAAAGTGCATGACACAAGTATCAGCAATAGACAGCTCGCTCAAATCACACGGACAAAGTGCATAACAAAAGTATCTGCAATAGACAACACCCTCAAATCACACGGACAAAGTGCATGACACAAGTATCAGCAATAGACACCCCACTCAAATCACACGGACAAAGTGCATGACACAAGTATCAGCAATAGACAACTCGCTCAAATCATACGGACAAAGTGCATGACACTAGGATCTGCAATAGACAGCTCTCTCAAATCACACAGACAAAGTGCATGATACAAGTATCAGCAATAGACAGCTCGCTCAAATCACACGGACAAAGTGCATAACACAAGTATCAGCAATAGACAACTCGCTCAAATCATACGGACAAAATGCATGACACTAGGATCTGCAATAGACAGCTTGCTCAAATCACACGGACAAAGTGCATGATACAAGTATCAGCAATAGACAGCTCGCTCAAATCACACGGACAAAGTGCATGACACAAGTATCAGCAATAGACAGCTTGCTCAAATCACACAGACAGAGTGCAGGACACTTGTATCTACAACAGACGGCTCGCTCAAATCACACGGACAAAGTGCATAAAACTAGGATCTGCAACAGACAACTCGCTCAAATATCAGCAATAGACAGCTCTCTCAAATCACACGGACAAAGTGCATAACACAAGTATCAGCAATAGACAACTCGCTCAAATCATACGGACAAAGTGCATGACACTAGGATCTGCAATAGACAGCTCGCTCAAATCACACGGACAAAGTGCATGATACAAGTATCAGCAATAGACAGCTCGCTCAAATCACACGGACAAAGTGCATAACACAAGTATCAGCAATAGACAACTCGCTCAAATCATACGGACAAAGTGCATGACACTAGGATCTGCAATAGACAGCTCGCTCAAATCACACGGACAAAGTGCATGATACAAGTATCAGCAATAGACAGCTCTCTCAAATCACACGGACAAAGTGCATAACACAAGTATCAGCAATAGACAACTCGCTCAAATCATACGGACAAAGTGCATGACACTAGGATCTGCAATAGACAGCTCGCTCAAATCACACGGACAAAGTGCATGATACAAGTATCAGCAATAGACAGCTCGCTCAAATCACACGGACAAAGTGCATGACACAAGTATCAGCAACAGACAGCTCGCTCAAATCACACAGACAAAGTGCAGGACACTTGTATCTACAACAGACGGCTCGCTCAAATCACACGGACAAAGTGCATAAAACTAGGATCTGCAACAGACAACTCGCTCAAATATCAGCAATAGACAACTCCCTCAAATCACACGGACAAAGTGCATAACACAAGTATCAGCAATAGACAACTCGCTCAAATCATACGGACAAAGTGCATGACACTAGGATCTGCAATAGACAGCTCGCTCAAATCACACGGACAAAGTGCATGATACAAGTATCAGCAATAGACAGCTCTCTCAAATCACACGGACAAAGTGCATAACACAAGTATCAGCAATAGACAACTCGCTCAAATCATACGGACAAAGTGCATGACACTAGGATCTGCAATAGACAGCTCGCTCAAATCACACGGACAAAGTGCATGATACAAGTATCAGCAATAGACAGCTCGCTCAAATCACACGGACAAAGTGCATGACACAAGTATCAGCAACAGACAGCTCGCTCAAATCACACAGACAAAGTGCAGGACACTTGTATCTACAACAGACGGCTCGCTCAAATCACACGGACAAAGTGCATAAAACTAGGATCTGCAACAGACAACTCGCTCAAATATCAGCAATAGACAACTCCCTCAAATCACACGGACAAAGTGCATGACACAAGTATCAGCAATAGATAGCTCGCTCAAATCACACGGACAAAGTGCATGACACAAGTATCAGCAATAGACAGCTCGCTCAAATCACACGGACAAAGTGCATAACAAAAGTATCTGCAATAGACAACTCCCTCAAATCACACGGACAAAGTGCATGACACAAGTATCAGCAATAGACACCCCACTCAAATCACACGGACAAAGTGCATGACACAAGTATCAGCAATAGACAACTCACTCAAATCACACGGACAAAGTGCATGACACAAGTATCAGCAATAGACACCCCACTCAAATCACACGGACAAAGTGCATGACACAAGTATCAGCAATAGACAACTCACTCAAATCACACGGACAAAGTGCAGGACACTTGTATCTACAACAGACAACTCGCTCAATAACTGGCTTATAAACTCAATTTACCTTTCCCAATGAGACTGTTGATATTCCTGACAAGGGTCTTGTGTCGCTCGTCACCCTCTCTCTCCACCAGCTTAAGGAAGGCGCTGTATGGTCGTACATCATGTAGGCACTGGCTCTCATCTAGTATTTCCTCCTGAACACCACCACACAAGACAACATGGTTAGGCAGTAAGGCCACAATATATAAATTATAACATTTTCATCCTGTCCCTCTTCATTGCCAAACATTACAACATAGTTAGGCAGGACATATAAGGCCACAAATTGACAATATATAAATTATAACATTTTCATCCTGTCCCTCTTCATTGCCGAACATGACAACATAGTTAGGCAGGAAATGTAAGGCCACAATGTATAAATTATAACATTTTCATCCTGCCCCTCTTCATTGCCGAACATGACAACATAGTTAGGCAGGAAATGTAAGGCCACAATATATGAATTATAACATTTTCATCCTGTCCCTCTTCATTGCCGAACATGACAACATAGTTAGGCAGGAAATGTAAGGCCACAATGTATAAATTATAACATTTTCATCCTGCCCCTCTTCATTGCCGAACATGACAACATAGTTAGGCAGGAAATGTAAGGCCACAATATATGAATTATAACATTTTCATCCTGTCCCTCTTCACTGCCAAACATGACAACATAGTTAGGCAGGAAATGTAAGGCCACAATATATGAATTATAACATTTTCATCCTGTCCCTCTTCACTGCCAAACATGACAACATAGTTAGGCAGGACATGTAAGGCCACAATATATGAATTAAAGTCAACCCACCATTCTATCAATATTAGTAACTGATCGAGTTACAGGTCAATCTTTTGCACAATAAGAAACTGATATAGTTATTGAACAGCAGAGTTAATAATGGTTCATATCATTTTCAAGTCAGAAAGGTTTTTTCAAAGGATTCAAAGGTCTTTTCACGGCTTAACAGCAAAAATTCTTGTAAACAAATGGTTAAAAATAAAACCAGTTCTGCTAACATGTTATTTCGGTAATAAAGCCATTAACATTTGTTTTTGTATCGGGAACACTAAATGAGGTCAGATAAGACTGAGCTGCTGTGATTACAAATTGATGATTGATCTGATGGCATAAAAGTGCTGAGTAATCACAGAATGTGACCAATGAACAATGTGCTGTACCCACCCGCTCTCCATTGATGTTGACACACACAAAGCAGTAGTTGTCCGATCTCTTCAACAACTTGAACAGGGGGAACTTCTCTGCCTCAGTCCACAACTCCTGAAAGTAGGACAGTCGTGAGTGAGTGAGTGAGTGAGTGAGTGAGTGAGTGAGTGAGTGAGTGAGTGAGTAAGTGAGTGATCTGTTTGAGAGAGAGACAGTGATAGAGTTAGCTCCTAGTAAAGCATTCTGCAGATAATGACTATAAATTCTGGATCCTAATTAGGGAAAATCTGGGATTCCAACCTACAATCAAAATCCATGACTTTCAAGTCCTCAACCATAATCTTTTCTTCACGATAAGGACATGCTGTTTTGATCTATGGTTTTTTCTGCTTATGATTGAAATAAAAACAAATTTGAGTTGCTCAATATTTTCATCTCATGGTCGACACAAGCAGCAGCCTATCAGTGAGTGAATGTCGCTTTATGCCCCCATCAACATGCCAGCGACATTAGTAGCCTGTGAATAACATAAACCAAATTTGTATAGTCCAACATGTTCTTATTTTATGGACCTACTCCGTGATCTGGTGGTGGACGTTAAAAGATGATACCCTGTCTGGCACTTGGCATTAAGGGGCTAAAACAAGGACTGGTAAGCGCGGAGTCAGTATACTGTGTCTGAGTGGGGTATTCATGTTAAACTGCGGCATGGTATCTCAGTAAGCTTGCACTATAAAATCGAAATTAGTCCCGACTAGTACAAGCACACACCATCACGCATGCACGTTCACACGTTTGCACACTAGTGCAATAATCTTGAATGCAACGCTAAACCCAATTTCACCTCACCTGTTATTTCATGTGGAAAATAGGTTTTGCATGGGAAATCAATGTCCATTCAACATAGAGTTGGTTGGTTGGTTGGTTAACACCGCACTCAGCAATTTTCCAGCTATATAACGGCGGACTGTAAATAATCGAGTCTGGACCAGACAATCCAGTGACTGACATCATGAGCATCGATCCACGCAATTGGGATTGATGACATGCATCAACCAAGTCAGCCAGCCTGACCACCCGATCTTGTTAGTCGCCTTTTACGACAAGCATTGTCGCCTTTTACAGCAAGCATGTGTTGTTTCACAGAAACAGGTACAGTAAGTCATGTGTGACACTAGCACAGGAGTTTACAAGCTGTACCGGTACATCACACAAAGGCTGAGGCCCGTGCACAAACGTTCAGCTGAGAAAACCAGTACACCTGACAAGTCACACATGCAATATATTTATCAGTTATCAAGTTTCAAGACTTATCTGTGAGGAAAAAAAAGTGCTTGACAATATGTCTATCTTGTGACTGCCATCACACTTTCAATGAGATAACTTGAAGTGCAAACAGAGTCAGGCGAGAAGCTACATAACATATTCAAACAGAGCGACAGATAAGCTGCATAGTTGCGTAAACAAAATGGAGATTTTTGTGAATATACACGCATGAGGAAAGACAATAGTATACAACAACACTGCATAATTACCAAATGTAGCTGTAATTCTTCACAGATAATTATTTACTGACTGAATGCAAGCATGACGCGTACATGGACTCTATGGCAGGAGATAATACATAAAAAAGGCATTCCATCTTGCCTATTGTAAATACTGCTGTTGAAAGTTCATGCTACACATTGCACACCCAAGTCAGCACACAAACAGATACAAATTAGAAGTAACCTGAAACACCATTTGTTGCAGAATTATTACATAAAAATGTCTTCTCCTTGGTGTCCAAATACCCAACTGTGAACGATCAGTAACTGTTGTGAGTAAATAAGGGTACTCAGTGGCTCATGAAAGTACCTGGAGCCCTGTTAATATGTCATGATGTCAGGTCAGGCAGGTCACATTTGTGTTTTTTACAAAAAGACAAGCTGTGAAAAATATATAATTGTATGAGCGAATGCATTGTTCTCTTTTAAAGAGTTTCTTTGACTGGAGGGTCACATTGCATTTAATCAATAATCTGAAAAGTTACAATGCGTTCGTGAGAGTGAGTAAGTGAATGTGGTTTTATGCCGCCTTTAGCAATAATTCAGCAAAATTATGGGGGGGGGGGGGGGGGGGACACCAGAAATGGGCTTCACACATTGTACACATGTTGGGAATTGAACCCTGGTCTTCAGCCTGATGAGTGAACGCTTTGACCACTAGGCTACCCGATCGCCCCTACAATGTGTTAGATTTTCGCATGTTCTTCTGTGTAAATTCACACTGTGTTTCATGTCAACCACGTATGTAAAATCACAGTGACATTTGATAGGTCATTGAAACATTATCAAGGATGTTGCCAACAAGGATATAACTTCCTTCCTGCTTGTTGACTTGTCTCGTAACAAGAACAATCTGTTAGTGGGTGGATGTTGTATTATGCCTGTAAACTAATTGAGTCCACCTTCATTAGTTGGTCGACAAGCTCAGGTTCATTTGTTTGGTATGGTTGCTTGACAGGGGTTCACAAAAGTTGACAGGGGTTGAGGGGGGAGTTCACAAAAGTTGACATGGGTTGAGGGGGGAGTTCACAAAGGTTGACGGGGTTTCACAAAAGTTGACGGGGGTTGAGGGGGGAGCTCACAAAAGTTGACATGGGTTGAGGGGGGAGTTCACAAAAGTTGACGGGGGTTGAGGGGGGAGTTCACAAAAGTTGACATGGGTTGAGGGGGGAGTTCACAAAGGTTGACGGGGTTTCACAAAAGTTGACGGGGGTTGAGGGGGGAGCTCACAAAAGTTGACAGGGGTTGAGGGGGGAGTTCACAAAAGTTGACATGGGTTGAGGGGGGAGTTCACAAAGGTTGACGGGGTTTCACAAAAGTTGACGGGGGTTGAGTGGGGAGCTCACAAAAGTTGACAGGGGTTGAGGGGGGAGTTCACAAAAGTTGACATGGGTTGAGGGGGGAGTTCACAAAGGTTGACGGGGTTTCACAAAAGTTGACGGGGGTTGAGGGGGGAGCTCACAAAAGTTGACAGGGGTTGAGGGGGGAGTTCACAAAAGTTGACGGGTTGAGGGGGGAGTTCACAAAGGTTGACAGGGTTTCACAAAAGTTGACGGGGGTTGAGTGGGGAGCTCACAAAAGTTGACAGGGGTTGAGGGGGGAGTTCACAAAATTTGACGGGGTTTCACAAAAGTTGACGGGGGTTGAGTGGGGAGCTCACAAAAGTTGACAGGGGTTGAGGGGGGAGTTCACAAAGGTTGACGGGGTTTCACAAAAGTTGACGGGGGTTGAGGGGGGAGCTCACAAAAGTTGACATGGGTTGAGGGGGGAGTTCACAAAAGTTGACGGGGGTTGAGGGGGGAGTTCACAAAAGTTGACATGGGTTGAGAGGGGAGTTCACAAAGGTTGACGGGGTTTCACAAAAGTTGACGGGGATTGAGGGGGGAGCTCACAAAAGTTGACATGGGTTGAGGGGGGAGTTCACAAAAGTTGACGGGGGTTGAGGGGGGAGTTCACAAAAGTTGACATGGGTTGAGGGGGGAGTTCACAAAGGTTGACGGGGTTTCACAAAAGTTGACGGGGGTTGAGGGGGGAGCTCACAAAAGTTGACAGGGGTTGAGGGGGGAGTTCACAAAAGTTGACGGGGGTTGAGGGGGGAGTTCACAAAAGTTGACATGGGTTGAGGGGGGAGTTCACAAAGGTTGACGGGGTTTCACAAAAGTTGACGGGGGTTGAGGGGGGAGCTCACAAAAGTTGACATGGGTTGAGGGGGGAGTTCACAAAAGTTGACATGGGTTGAGGGGGGGGGGGGTTCACAAAGGTTGACGGGGTTTCACAAAAGTTGACAGGGGTTGAGGGGGGAGCTCACAAAAGTTGACAGGGGTTGAGGGGGGAGTTCACAAAATTTGACGGGGTTTCACAAAAGTTGACGGGGGTTGAGTGGGGAGCTCACAAAAGTTGACAGGGGTTGAGGGGGGAGTTCACAAAAGCGACAGGGGTTCACAAAGGTTGACAGGGGTTGATGGGGGGAGTTCACAAAAGTTGACAGGGGTTGAGGGGGGAGTTCACAAAGGTTGACGGGGTTTCACAAAAGTTGACATGGGTTGAGGGGGGAGCTCACAAAAGTTGACGGGTTGAGGGGGGAGTTCACAAAGGTTGACAGGGTTTCACAAAAGTTGACGGGGGTTGAGTGGGGAGCTCACAAAAGTTGACAGGGGTTGAGGGGGGAGTTCACAAAAGTTGACATGGGTTGAGGGGGGAGTTCACAAAGGTTGACGGGGTTTCACAAAAGTTGACGGGGGTTGAGGGGGGAGCTCACAAAAGTTGACAGGGGTTGAGGAGGGAGTTCACAAAAGTTGACGGGGTTTCACAAAAGTTGACGGGGGTTGAGGGGGGAGTTCACAAAAGTTGATGGGGGTTTAGGGGGGAGTTCACAAAAGTGACAGGGGTTCACAAAGGTTGACAGGGGTTGATGGGGGGAGTTCACAAAAGTTGACGGGTTGAGGGGGGAGTTCACAAAAGATGACGGGGGTTCACAAAGGTTGACAGGGGTTGAAGAGGGCTGACAGGAGTTGACAAGATCTGTCGGGTTGACAGGCTGCTCAGCACCAAATAATAATGATAACGTTTCTTGACAACTAATTAACATATGTGATATATCATATAAGTGTCAGCATCTTCAATAAAATTGCAGTCGCAAGTTGGTATGGTTTAGCAGACATACATTCATCTCCATACTATCATGTCTTTGGATATCAAGTCCAGTTGACAACATCAATGTATACCACGGCATATTTGTTATTTGTTCTCATCAGGACATGTTTTCAAGATGCGATTAAGTTTCTAATACGTCCCTAAAAAACAGTAACTAGTCGTTTCATTTCCTCATTCTCGGTCAATACATGTGGTCGCGTGAGGGGAGTATATTTACAGATCCTGATCGTGTAACAGGTCAAGGTCAACTAAAAGCATCTTTTCTGTTTCTGTCAACAGTTACCAGGATATCAACATTACAAATGCCCCATGTCTGCAGCAAATGTCAGTAGACATTCCCAATTGAGAATAAAGCATTTCCCAGATCATGTTGATATTAATAACGAATGTTCTGGCTTTGTAGAGGAATCATGTGTATCACTGACAACATGTTTGTACAACTAATTTTTAAAAATATTAAAAAAGATTAATTTTTTAACCAACCAACCAACCAAAGTTTTCACAATCAACATCAGAGAAAAAAGATTAAAAAATGGTCTGGCCTCTTTGACATGTTATCAGCAGACCTAACAGACAAGGTAGTCTGTCATACAGACCCTGAAACAAATATATCCAATACAGCCCATGCAAATCTATAATATTTAGCATTTCTAGATAACTGCAGTATCTGAAAATGAAGAGAGTTTCTGGACTCCTTTAAATTATATTTCATAACTTAAATAACAACTGTTTTTGTCCATAAATATGTTCAATTCAGGGACCAATGTTAGTCTACATTAGGGCTGATATGATTCACTTGTGTATTCAGTGAATCGAACTGTATCAATTCATGAACTGAATTCGTTATTCATCGCAAATAGAATCGAATATATATGAATATGCAATCATGTGCATTTACATACCCTGTACCTAAAAATATCCATAAGAACACATTATATGCATAGATTTCTTCAAAAACAACACTCTTATAATATTTAATTTGACAGTAATGTGGTCACTGGTATTTGTTGCATTTGAGCAGATACTAGTACCTGGTTACATGCAGCAAAAATGTGCAATATATTAATAATTAACAAACCATGTCAAATAATTTATGTCGTTATTGCTTCACTGAATATAACAAAAAATACATCAATTGCTGACTTGTTGTATTTATGAATTAATATTGGTATTCGTTACCCTACATTCGTGATATGAATCGTATTGGCCTCATAGTGTGTTCGTTGCAGCCCTAGTCTACACAAATGGGATGAGAAGGACATCCTGGTTGGCTGAGGGAGGGGACAGGGGCTTCAATATCCATGAAACCATGAAGACAGTTGGGGAGGAGGGATGGAAGGAGGGGAAGGGATTCAAGGAAGGTTGTTGAGAAGGTGGTGAAGCCTGCAATAAACTTGAAATAAACAACCATGGAAAAAAGATGTAACAAACAACTGCGACTTCTGAATATCATGAATCAATGGTGGCTGGCAGCCATTGGTTCAATAACAGATTGATAACACAGAATTACAATAATCACAGGCTGGAAATTGCAATCACAAATTGGTTTGGTTTAGCAGACATACAAGTCATCCTCAACTCTATGCTATGATTTCATGATTATCAAGTCCATTCAACAACATCAATGAATGCCAATTTTGGATGTTTGAAGAGAGAAGCAAAAGAGATTTGGCTATGAAACTGAAAGTGATATAAAAAGTGGAATCTGATTGGTCAATGGGGACAGAGAAAGGACATTACTCGTAATAGCCACAGGTGGAGCTACGATCAAGCCACAAAATTCCAGCCTAGTTGGGCAAGGGTGGAAAATGGACATATATAGTAAGTTAACTGCCTTGCCTCAGTGTTCAGCAATATTCCAGCAACATGAAGATGGTAGCAAGCTATCAACTGCCCCAATCTGTGAAGACTAAAATCTTTACAAAAACAGCTGACAAAATTGAACAGAACAGAGCAGCATTTATTTTGTATAGTCTGGTCATGAGGCCAATAGTACAGATGGTTGGATAATATTTGACATATTGTGACAGAGTGCTCCAGTTAATATTGGCTTTGGAATTTCTAAGTTTAAACATTTTATCTAAATAAAGAGCTAGCTGAAATAAAATGTTGTCGTCATTTGTTGTGAGTAACAATACAATCTTGTGCATGGTAGGATATTGATAATAATACGAGGGCAAATACCTTAACCTTAAGTTAGTATAAGCTGGATGTATAAATACTGCTTGGTATTCATCATCTAAGTCTTCTTTACAGAAAGTACATAGACTGTCAGCAAAGTCATGGTCACCAGACATTCTATATTTATGTATTTTAAAATCATTTGAACAACATCTATATTTTGTTAAAGATCTTCTTAAATTGACAGTCTTAATCGATGATAGATATTTTTCAGGTTGTTGTAAGGATTTGTAAGTGCAATATAAATCTAGCCTTGGTGACTTAGATATACAATCTGACCATTCTTGCATAAACAAATCTCTTGTTCCTTCCTTAAATGTATAAATAAAACCATCACAGTCTCCGACATCTTGCATCAACCATACATAACCGAAACCATAACTAAACAATGTATATCTTACATATGAAACCCAATTTTTATAACCTAATTCATCATGTTTACACAGCATGAAATAGCAATGTTTTGGATATTTACCCAGAGGCATTCTTAATAGTTTAATCCAATACTTAATTATTCTCACAACACCATGTTCATACATTCTCGGTCTTCCAAGTTCACCTTATTCAACAGCATTTGAAGATTTGTATCCTATTTTCAAAGTATATTTACAAAATTTAGTAGGTATACTTTCAATGCTTTTTCTTACTTCTGTACACCATATTTGTGCACCATATAGCAAAATGGGTAAAATTTTACAATCAAATATTTTAAAGTATGTATCAACATTTACGTCTGGATTGACAAAATTGGGTTTGTTGACAACATTACAAAACAGACTGATCAACACTGTGAACATGGTGGATCACGTCAGATTAAATGTAGATTAAATGTGTATTGCATTGCAGATTAAATGTACATTTTACTGCCTTAAAACATCATGCTTGTCTGCTAGCCCAAGACTACTGAATCAAATAAATTGTGATAAGAACAAGTAAGAATCCATTGATGGTAGTCTTCATTTACTGGGAGCATTTGAGGGTTTAATTCTCAGTGTCATGTCCCAGCCCTACTGTCAAGTCCAGGGATTCAGATGGGGTCCCAGCCCCCCTAAAAGTCTGATGATGAAATGAAAATGACACATCATCACTGTGACAATGTTGAAAGAAAACGAATCAGCAGGAATGATCAACATGATCAAGACATTTTTCATGGATTATCTGCATGCAGTAATGAGGAAACATTGATATTTGGTCGGAGAGACTGATCAAAGACCTAGGAAGAGGAGCCACACACCCTGAGGACCAGGGTGCCGTTGTACAGAGCAATCTTAACGCTGAGGTGATCGCAACTCCCATACCTTAAGGGGGCACTGATCTGGAGCAATTCCCCGGGACTGGTTGTTGCCTGTGTTATTGTTTTTCCCCCGTGAGTACCCGGATGATACGCAACGCAACTGAGCGTGACAAGAGACTGGGCTACCGTCTGCAAGGTCCCTAAGTAAACTTGGAGGCAATATTTGTTTTACTCATTTTTGAACACTGATTGGTTAACCATGATCTATAAAGATTTCGACAAAGGGTGCATGTTAATTAATTTCTTCAGCCTAAACAAATCCAAAAATAACGGCGGAGCTCATCAGATGTTGTCATTTGGAAATACCCCTGATGGTTATAGTTTAATCATTTAAAAAAGTATCCATGCAGTGAAAGCTTTTTCGGATTTCTGATTGCGTCGATAATACGAATACTACTCCCTTGTTGTCATCCATGCTTTCTGGTACATATATATAACCCAAAACTTGTGTTGTCATTCACTTGATGCTCAGTTAATGAATTTATTACAGGTATAATTTGTGGTAGCACCACTCAGAATACCTGACAAAGGCATTTATCGTGTCTGGGGTAATTATTCAACCTAAATACAGGTTTGAAGTGAGGTGAAATGTGTGTTATGTAATATGCACATGGCAGCCCAGCAGGAGATGAATGATCAGTTGATTTACTTTTTTGTAAATCAATGTATCATTCCTAGTCATCAAAGGATTAACAGAAAATACATTGATTGTTTTTAATCACTGTTTGAGAAATCTGTCCATTTCTTTAACAGATTGACTAAAATTGATTAAGACGATCAAAAGGGCATAAAAACATCACAATAGATTATCATGTAGGATTAGAAGACAAACAATATAGAAATGTGCTTTTCATCATAACATTTTCAGTCTCTTGGTAATGGTATTAAACATAAAAATGTTTGGAATTCGTTGTCATAATAATACAGATGGGTAAAATAACTGAATATTCAGGCGTTTAATAAATTCACTAAGTGAAAATTTTGCACATTTTGACTGTTAAAATAGAAACACAATAAAATAAGCAATGATCAGGAGAAATATTTACTTTGTGCTGCAAGTCAAAATAGTGTAAACAAAAATCGCACAAGTACCAAGCAAGTGACTTATCAAAACTTCGTCCCCATTACCGATGCTACCCACAAAGATACCTACATTTCCTTATTATTTACAGAACTGTATTTCATTTTGTTGATCAATGTGACCATACGCCCTTTTACTATCAATAAAAGTGACAAATGGGCTTAGGAATTGCGCAGCACAGGTCGCGAACTAGTCTAGGTTTCTGCTATATCATCCTGATACTCACGGGAAAAAACAATAACAAGGCAACAACCAGTCCCGGGGAATTGCTTTAGATCAGTGCCCCTTTAACAAAGACTTTTGACAGTCGTAGCACTAATGTTGTTTTGTACAACGGCACCCTGTTAAATGAGGTTTCCACTTGTCTTCTGGATTAGTGGTGAAGTGAAATGGGATTTAAGATTATTGCACTTATGTAGCGACATGCATGAATATGTGTGTGGCTGCTTGAACTAGTCCAGACAATTACATGTTTTAGGTGCTAAATCACTAAGATACCATGATAACATACTTCATTCCATGACATCGCATACTCCGAGCCAGCCAGTCCTTGTTTTATCCGCATAATGCCAAGCGCCAGGCAGGGTAATAAAAAGTTACATCTTTCTGTCAGACGGGGATTGAACCACCGACCTTCTGCTCTCCTGGCAGATGCTCTATCCACTAGACCATGGAGGCGGTCTTTCAAGAATAATCTTAGGATACAATTAAAAATTCTAAGTCTGATCTTACCTGTTTGATGATTTCAAACGGCTTGTAGAAACTTGTTTTGATTGGAATGAGAATACCATTGGGGAGGAGGTAGTCGATGCTAAGGCTGTCATCCGTGAGGTTTGAACTAATGTCCGCCAGCACCACTATAGGTGGCATTATGGGATATCTAAAGGGAGGTAATCAAATCTGAACATTAGTTTACATTCACTACATATGATATCGAGCAAGTAAATGTTTTTCTAAAACCACATTTGGCAACAACCCATCTTCATCATGGCAGCTTGTAAATTGTTGCGTCTGGACCAGACAAACCAGTGGTAGATATCATGAGCAACATCCCACTCCATCAAGGCACAATGACACCAAACAACTAAGTCATGAGCCATCAATCTCCTCTGATTGGGAACCGATTCTATTCCGGACACCATACTTTTTCATGCTTGTCGTAGGAGGCTTGGGTGGTTAGGCTCTCTGACTTGGTTGATGCATCACTGTATCACTGTATCCCAATTGAGTAGATCGATGCTCATGATGTCAATCACTGGATTGTCTGCGCCAGTTTCAATTATTTACAGACCACTGTCATATAGCAGAAATATTGCTTAGTCAGCGTGAAGCAGCAAACAAACAGATATACATTTCACAGTGCATTCCAACACCAGCTGCTTATCTTAAGAGCAGGCTAGGAAATGTTATTTTATGCGACGGTCAGCAATCTACAAGATATATCATCTCACCAAGGTAAACCAGAGGTTGATAACATTTGTTTGTTTGTTATTTAACGCCACAATCAGCAATATTCCAGCGATATGACAGCGGTCTGTAATTATTCAAGCCTGGACCAGACAATCCAGTGATTAACATTATGAGCAACGACCTACGCAAATGAGATATGATGATATGCGATCCCGTTTGACGCCTTTTACACCAAGCATAGTTGCCTCTTTAGCAAGCACGGGTTGTTGAAGGCCGATTCTAACCCAGATCTTTACGGTTCGTTAACTGTGTTAAAATCATGACAAACGTGGCGCAGTCATCAAGAGATCTGAATCTGTATTAATTCAGACTAGTTCATGCACCTACATTTCAACTTTGATAACTTTTGGGACCAGAGTGAAACCTGGTTTTGTCTGGTGCAACTAGGTTTTCGTCAACATGCACCTGGAGCAAGTTTAATCAAGTTCCTTTTATTGATCCCTGGAATTGTCTAGTCACAGTGTCACATTGTGAAACCAGGCTCAGTGTGTCAATATTGCCGACTGTTGCAAAAATCACTCAGACATCCTTACAGTATTTGACGTAATAAGCGCCCTGCTCTAATAAGCGCCCACAGCGATAATTGCTAATACATTGGCTAGTGAACAATCCCAATTAGCACCCCTTCCGATTGATCAATGTACACAAGACTTATTTATTCATGTATAATACGCACTTGTGTGTTATATGCACCCTTAACAGGCTTAATTATGGGCAATTAAATTCTGGAAAAATTATTTCTGTTGTATATAAACATTTCAGGCTGTCAGCATAAACCACAAAATTTATGATCTTTCAAAAGTCTGATAAAACCTATTTCTGATTTTGAGAGCGCCCTGGGTGCTTTTTAGGTTAAATACGGTATTTCAATTTTACACGTGAGTGGGTGTATAGGAATGAGTGAGTGAGTGAGGTTTTATGCTGCTTTTAGCAATATTCCAGCTATATCACGGCGTTGAACAACAGAAATGGGCTTCACACATATACCCATGTGGAGAATCGAACCCAGAGCTTTGGTATGATTAGTGAATACTTTAACCTCTAGGCTACCCACCGACCCCATTTTATCTTGTACCTTCAACATGTTCTACACACAGAGAACACATGCACATCACAAACATGACTAATATCATGGGGGATAAATGAATTTCCTCGTTCTATTAATAGGAGCGTAAAAAATCACTTATCTTGCTTTTAACATTGTTGTAGGGATTGGACTGTTGGACTTGCACTTGAAGCATTAAGTGCTTAAGCTACCCTACCACCTCCTTTTAAATTTTTTAAGTGCACATTGCTTTTATTATGGTAAATATGGTATTTTTGTGAAACAAACTAATGAACTTCCTGTTCCTGTATAAAACTTTGTCCATGTAGTCCTTACCAAACTGCCCAATAGTGAAGGTATCCTAAGGACTAGTAGAAATTGGCCCATTTTAAGGGTTTTGCTGTATGTTATCATTGTAAGGACAAGTGGACAAAAACTGTTAGTTTCTACCCCTGGGTGGCCAGCTTGATGTGGGAGGAAAGCCCAAAGTGATACAGGTCTCAGGCGTTTATCACTTTGGTGAAACCCATGAGCACGGGTTTGGATCTGACAAACCAAGAAACATAATCTTGGCGAACCGAGATTCGAACCCATGGTCATCATTTGCTTGATAACGGTGTTAGATCTACACCGAAACGTCGCCCAATTGTACTAAAGAAGTTGCTCATCCATAACAAATTTGTCTTGTTACATAGCTATCAATCCCTGGATGTCTAAATGATTGAGAAGCCAGGATGTAGGGGCTGCACACCCCCCTGGGTCCAGGGCTAAGCCCTGGTGGGGCTGGTTTTGAATGATTTTAAGACCATTTTAATGGCCTTAGAGAACATGTATTCTGAAAAATTATATTTGTATCTACATTTAATATGAATGCGTGAGAATTTCCCAACCTTGCGTGTGAGCGTGACATAGGTGATAAATGTGTGAGACTCACGCGAGATGCATGAGAGTTGACATGTATACTGTTAAAGCACGAGTCGTGATAAAGATGACCGTCTAAAAAAACGTATGATGACTGAAAACCCATGATCCCACGATATATGCTGTAACCTCAAATCACTTTATAATTTTTGTATCGTATAATACACTATTGAGCAACATCATTGATCTACTTTTGCAACAGTAATATTCCACGTTATAATCAACCCTATTTTATACATTAAAGTTTTAGAAATATTAGGCCTACTTATAGTGGTCAGTTCAATAGCCAGTCAAGGACATATATATATATGATTCGGGTTCTCGACAATCATAATTCATTGATCATAATTCTAAATAGGCCACAAACATGTAATTCCCGGATGTCAGTTCCAATAAATTATTACTTTTGTTCAAACGGGGAAGTAGAAAGGAAGCATGGTTCGTGAGCAATATAAGTTATAACTGTATAACTTTCTAATTTCGAAATTCTGAGTTGATAACGAAACATGTGAAGTGACACAAATGATAAACATATAATGATCGTTGTGTAGCACACCCACACACCATCTGCCATTTGCTGGATAAACGTGGACACTTACCAACGTGAGAACCACCCCTTTCTACCCGCACTTTCTGACATATTTGTTGATGACGATTTGTGCTGATTTCCATTTACTTCCTGGACGTGATAACTCATCGTGTCGTATCTCACTACGCGCGAAAAACATAGTCCCCGTGCTGGAACATGTATTAACTGCAAATATCATGTACTGAATATTGATGCTGATGAGTTGAAGCAGGCGTATCACATTCTTTGTAAACATGTGCATCTTTGAAATTGTCGTTTGTGATAAAAAATATTTTCTTTGTAATCCTACGCCTTCGAGCACTTCGCAATTTGCAGACCGCGGAAAGCACAACAGTTCAAAATCTAGCTCGAACAGCTGATATGTCGCAGATAGCACATGGTTTTAGTCTCAGCACAGGAACAGCCATCAAGGGTTTTTGCACACCATACTTTGCAATATTACTACATAATTGATCTGCTTCCGTTTACTGTTGCATGGATAAGAAGAAATGTCCGCAATATTTTGTCGGTGAATATAGGCCTATATTTACCATGCAGTGTTTACACCCACATCTTTCTGATTTAATATTATAATATAGCGGCTAGATTCCATAACGACATGCGTATATCAGCATATTTTGTACAGTCCATGACCCTTATCAACTGGCACCATCGCTTCTTTTTCTGAATCCCAGGATTATAGATATACTACACAGGCGCGTGCGACGTTGGTTGTGGGGTGCGAGCACCCTTTTTTCAGACACATTTTGTTCAGTTTACATATCACTGGATGGATATGATAAACTAAACATCAACTGTTGCTGAGATGATGTTTCTGTGTACTCTTCGTGCTGAAACCGGGAACTATTTTAACCATGCTATAGAAGTTTTAACTGTAAATTTGGCACGCACTGTATTTCGAACAAAGTGTCTTCTAGTGTTTTACCTGCTTTTTAGCAATTTAATTTTCCATCCATATATCTTGACTTGAAATCCTAAATGGGCTTCACAGATTGTAAGCCTGCCAATGTTGGGAATCGAACACAGGCCTTAATTCGGCGTGACGAGCGAGCGAACGCTGTACACGTACCCACTCGGAGGTTGTGAAATATGTAGAATCATGATCGAATATGTTCCTGTATTTTGTAAGTTTGTTTCAAGTATATTGAAGAGAAAGCCAAGACGAACATAAACCTCAGCATGTATGGTCATTGTACTAAGAAAATTAAGGCCCATAAAAGTTCCGGGGTAGAAGAGGTCTTCAGCAACCCATGCTTGCCGTAAAAGGTGACTTTGCTTGTCGTAATAGGCGACATGTATAAGAGGATCGGGTGGTCAGGCTCGCTGGCTTGGTTGATGTATCGATGCTCGTGATGTCAATCACTGGATTGTCTGGTCCAGACTCGATTATTTAGTCATATAGCTGGAATATTGCTGAGCGCTGCGTTAAACAAACAAACAATCAAACAAAAAAACAAAAAACTAAAAAAACACTTTAAAATTGACAACTATAAATTAGAAACTAACCTGTCGGGCATGGGAAAAGAAAGTACACACTCAAATATTAAGCTGGTCATGACAATACCTGCTTGACTCGGATACTCCATTGGTGAAGCATAATAATACTATGACATATATCACCATCGAATAACCATCTTTGTTTCTTGTTTGTTTCATTTTTAATCACCATCAAACATGGGTGTTTAGTTTCGTTAACCCGTCAGTTTATTAAAAAACATGAGTACAATGACATTGTTGAGTCTAGCGCATTAGATTAGATAGAGTCGAACCCGTGAAGATTCCGGGGTAGAATAGGTCTTCAGCAACCCATACTTGCCGTAAAAGGCGACTATGCTTGTCGCAAAAGGCGACTAACGGGATCGGCTGGTCAGGCTCGCTGACTTGGTTGATACATGTCATCGATCCCAATTGCGTGGATCGATGCTCATGATGTCAATCACTGGATTGTCTGGGCCAGACTCGATTATTTTACAGACCGCCGTCATATAGCTGGAATATTGCTGAGTGCGGCGTTAAACAACAAACAAACAAACAAATAGATAGATAGAGAGTCCGAGTGCATGTCCAGCCTGGACCCACCGAGATACCGCGCCGCATCCCATGCAGTGAAGATCCGGGTTAGAATAGGTCTTCAGCAATCCATGCTCACAGTAAGAGGTGACCAACGGGATCGGGTGCATGGTCAGGCCTGCTGACTTGGTTGATGCATGTCATTGTATCCCAACTGACTCGACCGACGCTCATGATGTCAATCACTGGATTGTCTGGTCCAGACACGATTATTTACTGACCGCCGTCATACAAGCTGGAATAGTGCTGAGTGCGGCGTTAAACAACAAAACAAACTGTGCCGCAGTTAAACCTCACCCATGACACAATATACTGACTCCGGCCAAACCATTGTTTTATCCCCTTATAATGTCGGGCGCCAAATCGGGAAACAACAGGTAACATCTTTTAAAGGCTTCAAATTGGTATGATGCGGCTGGGGATCGAACCGCCGACCTTCCTGTATTCACTATAGTGGACCAGAGGGAAGGTCTCGATGGGAATTAGAAGTAGCCAGCACCGGTGCAGCTCTATCCCAACCGTCTGATGCACATTTACAGTCCCCTTCCATAGCGCATGAATGCACGAAAGGTTTCATTTCAATCAACAAAAGGCGAACTTGAAAAGGCGTGTCTTTAATCGGAGCTTGAAAGATCTGGACCCGGTTGTTCAAAACCCGGTTAACTCTTTACCAGCCGTTAATTTACGTCAGTGTTAACTCTCCGTTCCAGTTAACCAAATGGTTATGATGTTTTATCAAAGCATGGTTATCGTCAACCGTTGGTTAAAAGCGCGGTAAAGTCAACGATGCTGCTGCGGACAATATTCGATACGACACAGGAATTTGGGATAATATTTAAACCTAATATGTGCTTTAACCAATATGTTAAACCTTCACCGTGTCAGCTAACCTTATTGTTATCTATTTAATCCCGCATCAGTAATTTGACGGCTGGTTAACTAACGTCTGGTTAAAATATTAAACGGTCGGTTTGGAGTTTTCCTGACGTTAATTAAAATAGCTGCGTTCTGAAACGGGCCCTGGAAAGTTGGTGAAAAAATCAAGTTCGAGTGGGAGACCGGTGCCCTCAGTTTCAGGGACAAAGGAAAAGGTGCGATCGCCATAAATGAATAAAGAAAGGACAGACGTATTTGGTGTGCAATGGAAGTATATTATGACACAATTGAAAGGTTTTCCTTTGGGTCACAAAGCTATGATCATACAGCCATTGTCACTATATATCTAAGGTCAGTCAAAGTTCACATTTCAGGTTAAGTTAATGAGTCGGTCCACGATGACACGCTTATCAACCAAGTCACCAAGTCTGACAGACCAGTTGGTCGCCTCTTACGAACAGCATGGCTTGCTGTGGTTCCATTCTACTCCAAGGGGTGGTCAACAAAATTGGTGGTTAAGAGAAGGATTCGTGAGGTAAGGTAGGGGTGACTATTGGTCTGGAGTGAGTGAGTGAGTTTGGTTTTACGCCGCTTTTAGCAATATTCCAGCAATATCACGGCGGGGGACACCAGAAATGGGCTTCACACATTGTACCCATGTCGGGAATCGAACCCGGGTCTTCGGTGTTACGAGCGAACGCTTTAACCACTAGGCTAACCGACCGCCCCTATTGGTCTGGAAATCACTATTGCGATAACTATTGATATTGCAAGCAACTATTGCGATAACTATTAATATTGCAAGCAACTATTGCGATAACTATTGATATTGCAAGCAACTATTGCGATAAATATCGATAGTTTTCAGTGTATCATTTTAGATGGATTTTAGAGTTAAATTAAATCTTGGAACTGAAGTTTCCTTTGAATGTGAAAACCATAACAACAAATATAAAGTTAAGTTTGAGATACGACTGATTTGTTTTTTCTTTTCCCTAATAATTTAAGAAAAAGAAACTTTCACAATGCCATGTGTAAATTATTACCACTCATGATCAAAAAGAAAAACAAATTTAAACAGCAATGCATTTATTTTACTGATATGGTAAATACAATCGAAACGATCGTTATTCCAAACTGAATTCGATACTATTGATCGGAAACTGATTTAACAATCGATGTATTGACTTTAAGTGCTTACCAATTGCAATATATCTATATTCGATATTTTATAGTATAGTATCGATATTTTGTCATCATCCGTGGCAACCTCAACGGCAAGGTACACAGCGATGACATTCTCCAAACCGTGATGTTACCATTCCTTCGCCAACATCAACAGACAACACTCAGGATATCCTGGCTGTGCACGATGTTCTTCCACGGTCAGCTCGCTCACCAAAGTCATATCTCACCACCCTGATAGAGCTGGAATATTGCGGAGTGCGGCGTTAAACAACAAACTTGTGGTGTGGTGATGGACAGATCAGGAGGCGTCATCTACCAAAGAACCGTCAACAGCTAAAGCCGCAAAGAAGGAAGAGTGGTAACGGATTCCCAATAACATCAGATGGCTATCCATGAAGTCTGCGCGTGCACTGGCGCTCAATTTCGCAATTGATAATGTCTGGCATGAGTGAACCAACTGGGTATGACAATACCTGCTTCAATGGGGTCATTACTGTGTTCCCTGAAACTGCGACCACCATGTTCCTTGAGACATCACCTGTTGCCAGATACCCATTGACATGCATGTATTATCGCCCAATACCTGATCACATCACCATCGAATAACCATTTCATGTTTGTTTTAATTTTCGTCAAAAATAGAAGCAACTTTCTTCAGCACATCAGTTTATTTTGTCTTATATGCAAAGAAACTTGGGTCAAAACTTGCCTCAGTTCCCCAGCAGCAGTAGCATGGTGCCATGGAGTGAGAATGCACAAAGAACCATTGATTAATGTTGTGTACTTTCAACATACCACTCCTGTTGAATATTGCACTTTTTATGTGGCATCAGTTTATGTCTGCCTTTCGTTTCCCGACACACCAATGTCCTTAAGAAAACCCGCAGAGAGATATCTTTCAACCCCTTTTAGGGATGGGGGAAATATACATGAAAAAAGCAACAACTGTTTTGCGGGCTTACTACATTCAAGGAGGAACATGTACATTAGTGCACTGGCACCCTTGAATAACGAAAGACCATTCACTTATCCCTTGAGGGATTTTATCATTCCCCAAAACCTATAAGGTTACAAAAGTAAAAGAGTTGACAGGTGACACCAGAAATAGGCTTCACATATTGTACCCGTGTGGGGAATCGAACCTGTGCCTTCCTTGTGTTCACTGAACGCTGAAACCACTACCCCACTGCCCCTACAATAAGAGATACAAAATTTAAAATAACACGTACAGTACTGACATAAGAAATGTTTATTTCCAAAGCTCTCAGTCACAAAACATACACATCTTGATACAAAAGTAGAACACTTCCTCATGGCTGACAGTTGTCATTGAAACATTATGACACAAATGACACAGTTCCCTTATGAAGTGTTGTCCTAGTTGGATCATATTGGCAGTCATGGACTTATGATAAAAGAATCACATTGAAGTAAAGGAAAGTTTTAGCATATATATAGATAACACTTTAGTAAAATGTGTAAATGCAAAATCTAAAATATGAAAGTAACATTTACTACAGTAAGACAAGACACAAATATCATTTTGCAGCTTTGATAAGGACAAATTTGCTCAATAGATAGAACATTTGTATATACCTAAACAATTAATTGTGATAAAGATTGTTAGACGTTCATTTTCACAACAAACTAAACCAAATTCAGCAAGCTACAGAAATATCGTGCTCAATAGAGCTGAAATAAATTAGAAAAAAAAATCAACAATTTAAATAAAATTTATCTCACCTGAAGGAAAAGTGTATCCTTGCGGTCACAATATTGTAATTTTGTATTACAATGTAACAATGATTTCTAGTTAATATTATCACTCGTATACAAGTCTTTGGTAGTAAAACTCACTGCAGCTGCACGCAAGAATATATCAAGAAGTATATCAAGCTCAAGTCCCCCCTTGGTCTCCCCTGGTATTCATAAAAAGGGAACCATATTATTCTATTGGGCTTTTGTACTACATAAAATTCAGATTTTTACTCTGATACTATTCTCTATGTGTGATGATTGGAGGTCACGTCACGTAAACATTGAGTAAACTACCATTTCGACATCATCTGTTTCTAAAGATTCATTTCTTACCACCTTGATTTGAAATTTTTCATTTGAACAAAAGAGAACCCACAGAACACCAAATATTCCTTCGACAGTACCTTTTGGTGTTGAAGCCATGGTGCCAAGGCAACAGGAAGAATAAGATATCCATAACAATAAAAAGATGCTCTCTTACACAACTACATCTGGAACTTGTCCTTTTACTTCATTTTCTCAGTACAGAAATCAGATATGGTGGTCTGAACGTTTCACTCGCTCGTACCAGCCCCGAAGTCGTTCTTACCAAAAGAGGCCTCATGGAGTTGTCCTCAGGGTGCCGTTGTACAAAGCGATCTTAGCGCTGAGGTGATCGTTACTCTTCACACAGAGAGGTATCTTATTAAGAGTAAAATATCTCAACTTGAAGGGGTTGTCTGATCAGCATAGGTAAAATTACATAAATACCACTAAAAACGCCCATAGTAAGCAAAAGATATCCATGGTAAGTCAGCGTCTCTAAAAAATGAACATCACAAACGTTCGACAAAATCTATCAACGCATGACACATTTGCGCTCATACAGTCTTGCCTAGTCTATATCATTAACAAATTCATCTACATAAAAGACTAACACTCCTATGTAACAATCCATATACAAAGATTGTGACAACACAAATCGTTTCAAGGTTTGAGAGTTTTAAAATTGCAGGTAATGTTAGCTTGTAAAATGGCCATGAATTTGGATGAATACAAGATGGCTGAGGCTGTGAAAGGCCAAACATTGAACACAGTTTGCAAAACCAGTTACAGAGTGTGATTATGCATTTTGATGATGGATCGATTAACTCATCGATCCATAAATATTGATTTGAATGAACTGCCTTTGTGTTAATTCAAATGTTCCCAAAGCATGAAGATGGTTTGTTTCTCAAAAGGAAAGACCTGTGTATATATGCGTGTACTATAATGCCATCAAGGATATGTTGATAATGTTGAGAAGTATTACTTGCGAAACAAATGCAGATTTTGGAACACATGAACATTTCTTATGCATTGATGCTCTAATAAAAAGTCAATGATAACAAATGGTAACCATGGTAACAGTGGTGCTGGAGTTCATTTCAAACAGGTGTCTATTGAAATCGACATGCCATCGCCTTTCAGCCACCACGTTCACTCACTGCCAATATGAATGATGCATATCTACATAGCAGGGACTGATGACATATACACAGCATTTGATTGACATGTCAAAATTGAAATAAACAGTTTCTGTGTAGTGATTTATTAGTGATAATAACATTATCTACAAGCCGTTAACAGATACCATTATTATATTCATCTATTATCAATTGCTGCCGTTAAACCAATGTACGAGAATTATTCATTTTACAAACAGAACAGACATCAATGAGTTAAATATACATTCTGATAATGTATGAAAATGGCACTTCACCTGTTGAACCAATGGAACTAAAATGTAAATGATTATAGGTACATTTGATCAATAACTTTGTTTCAGAAATGAATCATTTGTTGGTTGGTTTATGTAAAATGATCCATTCCAAGACCTGTCCAAAACATCTATCAATTGTTAAGAAATCTCATTATTTATCATTGCGATAAATAAGAATTTGCACTTTTGAATGATCAAAATATGCTTAAACAAAGACAAACATTCTTCATCTATTCAGGTTAACATCTAAATTGGCTGCTCTGTTAATAAAATGATTCACATGTCTCTCTCTCTCTCTTTCGCTCTCTTCAGTCTGATGAAAATGAAAACTGGGATTGATGTCTTGCGAAATGAACTTTACTTCTCACTCATTCTTCTCTTCCTCCTCCTCTTCTTCCTCCTCCTCATCTTTGCTTTCCTTGTCTTCTTCTTCTTCCTCCTCCTCCTTCTTGCTCTTTCTTGACCTGTTTAGAAATTCCTTTCCATCCTTCGCGGTCTTCTGCATCGTACCTGCTCGTTTCACTGGTGGTTTTGCTGGTGGAGCGGCCCCTCGTGCACGTGACCTTGTCCTTCGACCCCCACTGAGGTCATCATCACCTAACAACGATTTTGCTGCAAAACAAATTGCGACACTGAAGAAAATGAATTTTGTCATCAATTATATTATTCACTATTATTATTCTCTACAGGAAACATAAGAAAATCCTACTGCAAGTTGTAATGTCGTAGGATGTGCGTGTATTCATCCTCTAAATCTCCACGGCTCATATTTCAGTAAACACACATTGACCCATGGATCCATTCCCCTGGTTCCGGGATCTCAAATTATCTGCCCTTGATTCCAATTAACACTTTGCTGACCAATCAAACACTGAGTTAAGGCTTTAACTATATTGGCAAGTGTTTGCACTCTTAAATTTCTGAATTTCTGTTGGATTTGTAACTTAATATCTGGGCCAGAATTTTTTATTTCTTACTGGACCAGTGGGCTTGTGTGTAGATAAGACATTTGTCAAACCCTGCAGTGATTGACATCATGAGCATCGATTGGGACACAATGACATGTATCAACCAAGTCAGCAAACCTGACCACGTTCGTCGCCTTTTATGACAAGCATGGGTTTCTGAAGATCTATTCTACCCTGGATCTTCGTGGGTCGACAGACATGATATCTAAACCTCTGCTTTACCTTCCAATCAATGAATTAAAATCCTTTTTGGCCAGAAATGTCTGTCGATCACTGACCCAAAACAAAAACTGCTACATGTGGTCAGAGATTGCATTTGTATTTTTGTCATCTAGCGTTTGACAAAGTTTGTTGTGGAAATATTTTGTGTATATATATATCTTTTGAGAACACTGGGCTGCTTGACAAACTGCTTGACAAACCTTCTTGCATCGTCTTCGCCATTGTTCCTTCTCTCTTGGGTGTTGATCGCCCTTTCCGTGCTTTGGTCTCTTGTCTTGTATCACCAAGTTTTTCATTGTTTAGCAAATCTTTACCCTCCTGACAAGAAAAATCAAAAAATTAATAACCTAAATAAGGGATAAACTTAGCAAAAACACAATAATTTTCACAAGATCAAAGTATTTTACAACATAATGTTACTAAGCCGTAGAATCTTTATGATTGCACAAGGCAGAATGATAAGGTTTGAAAACTATGCTAACGCTGAGTCAGGTATAGTATATAGTTGGGGAGACGATTTTCACTATTGTAATTGTATTAAACAAACTTTAAGGATTGTTAATCATATTAACCAATGTAATAGAAAGGATGAAAGTACTGCTGCCAAAGTCAAAATCATCGGTTTTCGTCCCTGTCACTACTAAAATCGAGGGGAAGTAACTCCAATCTGACATTGTAATTAACAAACAGCAAGTTTAGAAATTTAATGAGATGTCTCATGAATAATTGATGTTTTATTATTGCGACAATTGAAACTATTGACTCCTATGCACACAATCAACAATGCCATCAGCGTTTTAATAGTCATTTTTTAATATCCAAGATGTAAAGGATTTAGTTTTGGAAAGATTGGTTGGTTGGTTTGTTGTTTAACGCCACACTCAGCAATATTCCAACTATATGACGGCGGTCTGTAAATAATCAAGTCTCGACCAGACAATCCAGTGATCAATATCATGAGCATCGATCCACACAATTGGGATCAATGACATGCATCAAACAGAGTTTTGGAAAGTCATTTCCATCGCCTTATCTCATTTGTATTTCATTTCCCTTATCTTCAGCTGCATAAAACATTTTTCTGATGGATATATTTCTCAAAAGTGAGGAGGGAGGAACAAAACCATTTAACTCTGCTCTTAATACAACGTTTATTGACAATAGTCTGCTCCACATGTGTTAATTAAAAAATATTTCTTTTGATGGCACCATTGCCCAAAGAATGTTTCCTTTTCTCTTATATATAATAATGACATCCAGTCTAGGATTACAAAATGGCAGAAACTCAAGGTTCTACCACACTAAATCAGAACCAGTTGGGACAGTGCGGTTTTCGTAGGGAGATCGATGATATCTGCAGGCAGTGATTGGATGATATTGTGTAAGATTTTATGTCTTTTAAATGTACATCAATCCAGTTATTAAAAATGACCATGTTTTTCTTTATTTAGTACTGTCTTTTTCAAAATGATGACTTATGCTGAATGTGACCAGGAATATTTTCAATAAGGTGACATTTGGTGCGGAACTGGGGGTGGTGAGTTTAGCTTCCTGTACTCGGAAAAGAAGCTGACTAAGCTGGTCACTTTTTTTTTTTTTTTTTTTGCTGCTCTGAGGACAAACTGTGCACACATGTACAGGTAATAGTTGTTTAATGCTTAATTATTTAAAAAAATATATAATGTTACTATAGAAGTCTATGGGAAAACATTGGGTTGTGTGTTACCTCAAAGAACTACCATCAAGGGAGATAATACGCCAATTACCTCCCCTGTTGTTTTTTTGGATGATTAACCCAGTTAGAGCCTGAATATGCCTACCTTAGCTGTGACAGCCATTGTTCCTTCCTTTGACATTTTAGGTTTCTTTGGTGATGGCTCTTCAGATGTTTCACTCTGGATCTCTTCAATTTTCTTCTGCTGGCTTCGAGTTAGAGCATCTGCATCAACGGTTCCTCCAGCTGCCTCCAGAAACTGCTCACCCTCCTGTAAGAGAACATTTTAGAATGACAGCTGATACACAACTTGCATTACATAAGCTGCCCAGTCATCCCCAAATAAATGAAACTGTTAGTATTAGGCCATTATTTCTCTCTTTGTTGGATCATGACCCTATTTTCTTCAAAAACAAGAATCCAAACATACAATTATATTGCCCCAGGTGACTTCATGTCATACATGCAATAGATTTTACTACCTGATGCTACCTGGAAAACCACTGTAGGTTTCAATGGGGAATTTTTTAGCCGTGCAGTGTTAAAACAAATTGAGATATGTGCAGAAACCATCTGACGATGTATACACTGAACCTTAATTAATCTTTATTCAAACATATGAATGTAAAACATAATGCATGCAGTCAGAAAGTAATGTAACTATGGAGTCTTATTGTTATTGTCATTACACATTATATCATGTGACATCCGACTCATCCCTTGTGCCTTCCCAGCCTTATTTCACTTGTTCTGCTCGAGACAGACAATTTGTTACCAGTGTTTACATCTTCTGTCACTTACAGTTTGTTTACTAGCATGAACTTTATAAGGCGTCAGTCGACTGGGATGGGCCACTCATTACCTGTGCCAGTTTTTAACTTCAACCCTGAATGCCTGCCCTAAGCCCACCCCACCCTCCACCGACATACCTTTGCTGTAACTGCCATAGTGCTATCTCGGGGAAGCCCAGATTTGTTGGAGCCGGATGCTGCGTCTTCTTCTGGTTTCAGTCCCTGAAGCTTGAGCAGTTTGTCGTGTCCAGCTGACTCAAGGTAATCAATACCCTCCTGAAAAGTACAAATATTATTCATAGAAAAAACTGATAATTTCTTGCACAAATATGTTTGGATTCATCTAGACATGCTAAGAGGCTGATATTTGATATCTGCAGCCAATGTCAGTACAAATGACCAAATTGCAATTACTGCTAGACATCCCATGTCCTTGCCTTTCAACACCCATTTCACAAATAGCAAAAAATATGAGTATTTTTGTAAAAGGGGTAAAAAGACAAAACATGAGCAGTGCTTGCTGATACCCCCAACATAAGTTCAAAACATGAAAAAGCAGTATTTCACTAGACAATCCACTTATTGAAATCAAACTTTACACCTCACATCTCCTATTGGTGTAGAAACTGTACCCCAAATTTGAAAAGAATCCATAGAGTAGTTAAAGGTCACACAAATGTTTCAGTAAAATAATCCAAGTAAAAAGAAAAGAAAAAAAAGCTGTATTGTTTCAGAAAATCATAATATGGAAATCAAACTTCGCACTGCACCTCTCCTATAGGTATAAAAAGTGCTCACCGAATTTGAAAATAACCTATGAAGTAGTTTTCAAGTTGTAGATTGCACAAAAGAATGTCCTTGGCATTATGGACTAAATTTGACCTGTTTGGTCGGGGCTTTGATAAAGAGGTACAGAGAGGCTTTAATGTTTAGTTCATTAGATTGAATTTAATTTTGGATTTAAGAAAATAAGAACTTTGAACTATAATCTCAATATTGAAAAAAAAATTAATAAAAATTCCCTAGATAAATCCCTGATATACAAGAAACGTCTCCTCAGTGTTTTTCTGAAATGACATATTTATAAAAGAATGAAACTATTTTGTGGTGACTTCTTTATAAACAATAAGTATCATTCATATTTCACAACAAAGCCAAAAGAAAAATCTGTTCGCACTTCAAATCACAATGCCAAGTGTTTTTCATACACAAGGCTAGCTAAGCACAAAAGTGCTGATTCAGCTTTGCAAAAGCAAAACAGTATTCCACTCACATTTCGAACACATTAATTTGGTTCACAACAAAACAGAAAACTGCATCAAACCTGCTTTAACAACCAGTTATCCAAAAAGTACTTCCCAGTTGAAATGCCGACGAAATGTATCAATTCATTCAAGTTCTGATGGGCGACGCTTCTTCACCAAGGGCAAAAAAGTTTCTCTAATGTAAAAATAGCCCATAATGCACCATGGTCTATTGTAGAAGCTGAGCCACACCCCTAAGACAACAAACCATGGGCCAGGAAAGCTCTGCCCTTCCCTAGCGCATCTGGTATAAAATTTGCTCTAATCTTAATGTACACAAAACCTTTAAAAAAGCCAACCGGACCCTTGGTACAAACATCACAGAATACACTACCTCAAAGTGGTAATTGGATTTGGGTGAATAAATTACTGACAACAGGAATTGGGTTAATGGGGTGTTTTACTCCACTTTCATATGTAGTAACTTTCTGACAAGTCACAGTACGGTATATGGTACTGTTCAAAATATTTGTACCAAAAATGCATTTTGTGCCAAAGCTTGGAGTTATTAATGACTTATTGACGATAGGCATCATGTTAGACTTGAAAGAAAAATAGCTTCAGAATACTCATAATCTTGTAGATTAGTGAAACAAAACAAGCGAGTATCTCACAACAGGAATTTCAGATTTCTAGACGAGTAAATAATTGTTTTAAGTTTCTAAGAACCCACAAATGGTTGACACTGAAAGTCTGCGACAACAAATACATGACTTGCTAACCAAGTTAAGCACAAAAGTGTCACTGCATCTTTCCCTTGTCAAATGCTTCTAAATGTCAAGTTACCAAATTTTAGCAATTAAAGACTTACAAATAACTATTATAGCTTAATCCTCCACACATATTTGATAAGACCTGAGATAACTAGGGTAGAAAACAATATTTTTCTCAATCTGAGTGACTGAAAAAAAACCTTGGCATGTTTTACATCTCACTGATTAATGTTCATAGTGCTTCATGTTTTCAAGACACTTAAAGCCATTGTACTCATATTTGTTCTGGAACTTCAGTAGGAACAGTTCCTTTTCATATGCTAAAGAGAACATCAAGTTTATTAAACCTAAGTCTGTACTATATCTAAATCTTAATCAAAAATACAAATCACCTAAATCACCACATCCAGATTTGAGTGGTATTCTTCAGACTTTAGACACACAATCAACATCTATGCTTTCAAAATGACACCTGATATGGTAACAGATCCTTATTCAAACGAACGAAACCATCTGACACGATATAATAACGTCGTCTTGCTATATATGTAATTACTTTAGAAAATTGTACGAAATTTCTGGATTGGTGATCACTGTGGTTTCAAATAGAGGAATGTTGGCATGGGAGTTGACAGTGTATACGAGTATGTCCATTTGTTTAAACAGTGATTGCACAATACTTTCAAGCAACATTTCGAATACAGCGCTCTTCCTTTATAATACACAACCGGGCAAGATTGTACATGACCAGCAAACATGACCTTGCACATATAAGACGCCATATTGGAATTTTGACAACTTGCAAATTCGTCCATGCAAAATTATCCTTAGGAATGAAAACTAAGAAACAAAACTTCGCAGTAATAAAGATTATTTATTCAAGAATCCTAATATTGCCAATTCATCTCTTAGTTTTCGGTATTTGGTGGCCAAATGCGGGTATGTAGGTCACCCCTGCATTTCTCAAACATGTCGAAATCTATGGCGTCTCAAGGAACAAAAGCACCTGATTTTGGACGCCGATTTTGGGACAATCCCGGTCGAAATCTTTAACCCACCTTTGCAGTCACTTGCATTGTTCCATCACGAGCAAGCGAGGGCTTTGCGTCGGTCATTTTGAGATGTCTTTTTGCAAAAAACAGATGCCGAATACAGGACGAAATATGCTCGATTTCCACGAGGAGAGCCGCAACCAAGTCAGGAAGGCGTGGTCACGTGTCAGGCAACCGGCTTCTTGATTGGTCAGCATGATCGAGAGCAACCCGGAAGCGGGAATGTAAAAACACAAACCGACTACGATATTCAACATCACTCAGCAAATTCGAAAATTTAGAATAAAATACCATTATCTGAACAACACCATGTATGGGAATTTTTCTACTGATGAATTCGGAAGGCATATCAACAAAAATTGTGCTCTTTAAGCGCGATTTTCACAGAAATTATTCGTATCAAAGCCAATGTTTTGCTTTGTAAAGTTGCACTGGGTTTCACTCTCTCTTCTGTATTTGTTGTCATGTTCACAGTAACATGTTTGTTTCGTGCAAAATTGACATATTCGTTGTTCTAAGAATATTTTTAATAACATATGTATTTCATACTATCAATTTTTATGCAAAGTGATATTTGTTTTCTTTGTATAATTTCGAAATAATCTCTAAATATGTATTTATAAAAAGGTTTTCATTTAACTCAAATTCTATCAGTGAATTTGTTTTAGGAATATGTAATCTATTGATCATGAATAATGCTGCATATACACGTAACGTATATCTTGCAAATTATTACAATCCAATTACAATAAAGTACGTTTATAACGAACACGCTTATAACGAACTAACGGATATAACGAACTGATTTTTTTGTCCCGACTATTTGCTATTGTTATACTGTATATATGCTTATAACGAACTACGGTTATAACAAACTAAAGTTAGTGGTCCTTTTGAGTTCGTTATAACCGTAGTTTACTGTATGTCATCTTCATCTTAGTTTACACTGATACCTCAATTTTATCTTCATTCGATGGAATAGTCTCTTTGATGTGACATCAAATATCAGAGATGATCGATATTAAATTACAATTAATTTCAAATATATGGAATAAAGTGTATTATACGCGTACAATAGACAAAAGTAATGGACCGAATACAAGGAAGGATGGGGGAGGAGAGAAAAGAAGTGTTCCTCTCTCGCCCCCATCCCCCGCCCCCATCCTCTTTATGTGAAGTTTCAGACACTACATACATAAACATACATAGATGACAACACAGTAGCCTAAACGAGTCGCCCCAAAATAGTAGCACTGCCATACAACACCTAATAATATAGGGTACTAAGCCCATACCCTACTCAAACACAGTATATTGACTCCGAGCCGACCAGTCCTTCTTTTAGCCCCCTTCATGTCGAGCTCCAGGCAGAGTAACAACAAGTACTATCTCTTAACGTCTTTTGGTATGACATGTAACCTCCAGCTCTCCGAAACGTCAGGTTTTACTCTTCTTGTCGCTTTTCTAAAACACATTTTATGCATTATTAATTACTGATATTCAACCTTCTTTGGCCACACACAAAGTAACTTGAACATCATGCATTTATCAATAAAATAACAACTGCCATTTTGGTAGGTAGGTGAATATATGATGGAGAGGATTTAACTTGATGAGCACGGAAGAATCTTGTTCCTGAAAGAAAAGCATTATGAAGACCATGTTTGTTTGTTTGTTTGTATCAGTTACATCATTATACAGAAGTGCATCATTGTATATTAATATAAAAAACGATCGTTTCTTGCAGGCCCATGGGACGTAACTATACACCGTGAATTGCGGCGCTTTAGACGAACGTTGCAGTGCAAGAAGATTAAGCCGACATTTGAAAAGGAAGCATTAAAACAAATCCTACTTAAGGTTCATTCACTGGCAATCCCTGTAAGCTGGAAACACGTCTTTGGAATATAATCATTATTACCATGGAAACCTATAGAAAAAAGTTCAGATTAACACATGCACTGTATAAACATCGTTTTGTGGGACAATGGACCTGGCTGTTTGGCTTATATTCTCCCTTGAAGTTAGGCATTTGACACTGTTTGTTTGTTGTTTAACGCCGCATTCAGCAATATTTTAGCTATATGACGGCGGTCTGTAAATAATCAAGTCTGGACAGATAATCCAGTGATTGACACCATGAGCATCGATCCACGCAATTATGATACGATGAATGCATCAACCAAGTCAGCGAACCTGAACCAGTCGACTTTTACAAGTATTGTCGCCTTGTACGGCAAGCATGGGTTGCTGAAGATATATTCTACCGCGGATCTTCACGGGTAGCATTTTATACATCTTATAGTATTTAATTAATGTGTTCGTATGACTTGTTTGAATGTTGGACGACTTTTGGCGTAAACGCTTAAGCTGTCTTAGAGTAGAATTTGTAGCTTGCGTGAAAGTGAACTTGCTGTTTCTTATAACGCATCACGTAAAACAATAAACAAACGGTAATAGGGTACTGCTTCATGTACTGAGCAGTCATTTCTTGTAATGGATGTCAATTGTCAGAGAGATGCCCAGCGTCGCGTCAATTATCATGCATATTGCAATACGAACCAGTGAGAGAGATGGTTTGTATTTCATGGAGAGTGTGGGGTTTGCAATGGTAAAAAACATTGACAGAATATGTAGATATATAACATGTAACTTATTCACGAAACAGAGTATTATGGATAACAACTTTAACATAATTACACATACACAACATCCTAGGACTACTTCTTGGTCATTCATCAGGCGACATCTTCCCGAGGCAAGGGAGTTAACTGACTATAAAAGTCCAGTTTCCCCCATTGCCGAATAAGGCTGAAATTTCCAGGCTCGATCGTAGCGCCATCAGTGGCCATTACGAGTTATAGCCCTTCTATGTACCTTCTATTGACCAATCAGATTCCATCTCTCATGTCACTTGCATTAGCTTCAAACAAAATGACGGCACCCAGTCAAGACGGATCTGCACGATAATCAAGGTCTTTATTGTAATAAAACGGGTCTTACCCCACGAAGTGCATCAAATCACGTGAGCACCTCGGTTAAAAGCATGAAAGAATTTGCAAAATATCTGTCGACGCCCAGTTGGCGGTACACATGTATCCTGCTGTCGACCGAAATCTGCACGTTGAAATCAATGTTGTTTACGAACCGGATGTCTACTTCGTTACGCTATTTTGATTGGACTATGCATAGACTCGTTAGTCCATCCAAAATGTCACTCCATAATTGAAGCCTAATTCGGCAAGGGTGGAAACTGGACTTTTATACATGTAGTCAGTTAACTCTCCTGCCTCGGGAAGATGTCAGGCGAAGGGACAAGGAGGAACCCCGAAACGTTGTGTATGTAGATTATAAAGTTGTTATCCATAAACTTCTTTGACGTGATTGCAGCCAACGTCTGTAAAGACTTCTGCCTATAAAATCTCTCATTTAAATTATGGTGGACAATGTAAACGGAGAGACATTCAGCATCTCGCTATTTACAGGTGAGGTAAAATGGGGTTTAACGTCGCGTTCAAGATTATTGCACTTATAGAGCACTTATATACGTGTGTGTGTGTGTGTGTGTGTGTGTGTGTGTGTGTGTGTGTGTGTGTGTGTGTGTGTGTGTGTGTGTGTGTGTGTGTGTGTGTGTGTGAGTGTATGATTTTACTAGTCCTTACTAATGCCGAATTTATAGTGCTAGCCCACTGAGATACTATGCTGCAGTTTGACATGACTACCCTACTCCGCCACAGTATACTGACTCCGAGCCGACCAGTCCTTGTTTAAGCCCCTTAATGCCGAGCGCCAGACAGGGTAACAACAACTACCATATATTAACGTCTTTTGGTATGTTCTGAGGATCGAACCCCGGACCTTCCTCTCTCCGGGCGGACGCTCTACCACTAGACCACGGAGGCGGTCCGCTGTTTACAGACGGACTAGCTTATCAACAAGTCTGTACCTTGTTCAGTGTTATTATAAGCATGTGAGGGTGATTTCGTCCTACTTTGTAACCACATCACCAGTACATATCATGATGTCTGGCCATACATTGTAATCTAATTCATGTTCAAATTGTTCAAATATACCCCAAAAACTATCACTATTGGCTTCTGTTGATATTTTAAAATAATATCAAGAAGTAAACGATTTATAAAAAAATAGTTCATTCCGACAATAAAACATGTTTTAGTACATATCGTTAGCAGCTGTTCCACACATGCATTCTTTTGATTATATTGACATTACACTTAAGCCAAATACCCCACGTGTAGATCCGGGATAGAATTGGTCTTCAAAAACCCATGCTTGTCGTAAGCAGCGACTAACGGGGTCGGGTGGCCAGAAACGTATCCCAATTGCATAGATCGGTACTCACGTCAATCACTGGATTTTATTTACAGATTGCTGTCATATAGTTAGAATATTGTTGAGCTCGGCGTTAACAACAAACAACAAACCAAAACACTAAACCCAACAAGTCCAGCTATTCTGATTCATTAACAGCAAACTTAGATTACCTCCATTCTCACATCTACATCTTATTGTTTTTTTTTATAGATTTCTGCAGAGAGAGATAATCTGCCCAGAAGAGCAGTGTCAATTCACATTTTCCTTGCATATGTAACTTATACTTTATACTCTGCAACCACAGCTGTTTTTATATGAATATACAATGATGCACTTCTGTATAATGATGTAACTGATATTTGAAGGTAGAAATCGCAATGTGCTGAAAACAGGCGAATTCCTGCCCAGTTATTCTTCGTAATAAGTGATGCTTTGTTATCTGTCTATGTCGAGTAAAACATACATTTACATTTCATATTTTACCAAGAAGTATAAGAGTTTGTTGGTCAATGTAACGTCTCAAGGATATACACGAATTGTATCTCTATTTCTGTAGGTTTCCGCTTATTAAAACTGCGAAGGTTTTTACAAACCGGATTTCCATATTGTATTGTTACTCGGGATTGTTTTCTCAATCTACTATGTCCGTAACAACCACACGGTGATACCATTCTCTGCCAAACGCGCACATGCTGTGGGATAATTCAGTCGACCAAAGTATACTACGTCAAACAAGTATAGGAACACCCAATATTTCCATCATATTTTAATGACTACAAAGACAAGCAGAACACATTGGGTATTTTCAGATACTGTGGCATTTAATGC